CAAGCGATTCTTGTCACAAATCTATCGTGTGAGCATTTTGTAGCGAAGATAATCCTAGCCCTAGAAATCGGTCCCCAAGATCATTTTCCAGGAATGCGGCAGGGCGGTATGGTATGCAATTTCGAGCTTTTACGTAGCTTTTTCCCCTGAACGATTCGCATGCCCTGTCCCAAACTCGCGGCACCTAGCCCGGTTCCTGGGAAGACCGCCTGTTAAAGCCTCGTGATTCGGCAAGGTACTGGTTGTGCACAGTAATTCAGCGTCGTAGAGCAATAAATTTCTGATCTAACCAGCTCAAATGGATCCATCAATCTTTCACTGAACTCTAAGGAAGGCGCTGTGGTCCCCACCAGCAATCCCACTTTCAAAGCCGGAAAAGAAAAAAAATCAGGGTTACTAACACGGACTTACCCTTTCTCTCTCCATCCCAAAGCAAAAAGACACGGTGCAACCGCAGGGCGCATATCCACGTTGCACAGGCTCACTATATGAGCCAGGATTCACTCATTCGGAAGAAAGTCTAACATCGGCATCAGTTGCGAAAAAAGCTGTCTTCGGACTACTGGCAATCGCGCATGCGCCAGCCGCCGCTTCGCTTCACCCTCTCCGCCAGCCGCTGACTTCTCAGACGGAACTGACTGCCCGTTGGTCGCGGATGCACCCCTAGTCAGCACTTGGCTTTTTGCCCCATTGTGCTGTCCACCGGGCCACTGTTGCCATCACCATTCGCCTGTTTGCATCCATCCATTTGCACCACTTTCGGCCTTCTTCCCAGCCCGAGCCCGCCCTCTGCGTGCTTCTTAATATCCCGTCGAGCCGGTATTTCTAGAGCTGCCCAGGCAGCTCGCCTTCACCACGTCTTCCCAAAAGAAACGGAGGATTACCCGCCAGGCGACCAGGGAGCACAACAAGCCCGACGACTTGGTGCTGCCCTCCACTGAAGACGACGCCGATCCCACCTTCTCTTTCTCTGTAGCCTCGACGACATCTGGCCTCTCCACACCCCCTTTCGCTCGTGCCGACTCGCTTCCCCCCTCTGGCGTTCCGCCGCGGCTGCAGACGTACAGTTCCTTCGCCGATTCTCCCTCTTCGGCGGCAAGCTCCCCGCGTGCCGCCTCGGCCGATTTGTCCGTCGACTACGACCGGCACGCAGACGTGGTTGCCGACTCCGCCCCGACCCCGCAGCCGTCGGATTACGGGCCCACAGGCAACCAGTCTCCAGCTCTCCATTCGGCTCGACGCATTCTGATGGGCGGTGCAGCCGATTTCCCCCAGCGGTCCTCCTCCCCGCTCAAGCGCCGGGCATCCAGTATGGAACCAGAACAGGAGAATGCAGACGCGAGGGAGGATGTGGATATGATCACGGCGCCAGATTCCCAAGGAAGTGGATCGGAGCAAGGAACAAGGCAACAGCAGGACGAGCAAGAGACCGCAGGCTCCGGTACCAGTGACCGGCCCGTGGCCAATGTGGCCGAATTGCCTCTCCGGACTGGTGAGATCGCCGCTTCCCCGGAATGCTAACAAGTTCTCTGCTGATCGTCTTGGCAGATATTCCTCCCGTAGACCAACAAATCAAGACAATCGAGGCTCTTGTCAAGGCTTTTTCAGAGACTCCTCCGAAAGAGGGCGACGAAGCCTATCTCGTGTCTCGACAATGGCTCAGCCGTGCGCAGGCTTGTTGCCCCGATGCGAAGCATGCCACCAAGGGAAACGTGGAAGGATCTCCAGGCCCTGTCGATAACTCAGACATCATACAGGCAATATTTACCGACTCCAATGGCACCCTTTGCGTCAAGTTAAAGCCGGGTATGGGCACCGAGAACTTCGAGCTGTTTCCCAAGGATGCATGGGATCTTCTCATGTCATGGTACGGCTTGGCCCCTGGACAAACGCCCATTGTTCGATTCGCCCACAACACGGCGCCCGATTCCGTGAGCGTCCCGACTATTCAGTTCGAGTTCCACCCGCCTGTCTTTACAATTCACCGCCTGTGGTCCGCGACAAGCCCAATTCCCATACACCAGGAGCTCAAGCTGAAAAACCCTCCCCCTCCAGTGGTTTTCCAGAGCACTTCGTTCAGCTACCATAACTTCCTGAAGCAGGTGAAAGCGCTCACTGACGTGTCCCTCGACCGGAAAGTACGGGTTTGGAGACTCTTACAAACTATCCCTGCCACGGAGAGCCCCTCTGAACCCCCCGGGATGAAGACCCCACCTGATTCACCGGGACGCACCCCTGATATCCCCAATCGTCCGCCCGCTTCGCCGGGAGCTTGGCCGGCAATGCTTGTCGACGTGGAGACTTTCCTGAAGCTCGAAAGGGATGTTGAGCGCGGTCTGGTTGAGGCAGAGGACACGACCACCAACCCAAACTACAACGGGCGGAAGAGTTTGTCATTGGTAGGCCTCGCCGTCGATCAGACACTTGTTCTTGACGAACAGGTTGATCGCGATTCATATGTTTCTACTTTCAAGGGTAGCAGCATGAAAGACAGGGCGATAGCAACGAGGGGTAGCTCCAGCAGCCTCCCGGCCTTGGCCCGCGGGACCGCGAGCGGGCGCAACAGCCCATCGCCGCTGGGCCCTCAGACCCGGGGCCGCATGCAACAAAAGTCGGGGCGTACGATCGGCTGTGTGGGCTTACAGAACTTGGGCAACACGTGCTACATGAACTCTGCCCTTCACTGCGTGAGGAGTGTCGAGGAGTTGACAAAGTACTTCTTGACCCATGAAGCCCAGAAGGAAATCAATCCGGACAATCCCCTTTCGCACAATGGCGATGTTGCCGTAGCTTATGGCCGCTTGCTGGAAGAGATATACAAGGATCCTGCTCCAAGCTCACTGGCACCACGTCATTTCAAGAGCATCATCGGGCGCTACGCGCCAGCATTCTCTGGATACGGGCAGCAGGACTCTCAGGAGTTCGTCGGCTTCTTGCTCGACGGTCTCCAGGAGGACCTGAACCGCATCAAGAAGAAGCCATACATCGAGAAGCCCGACTCCACAGACGACATGATCAACAATCCCGCAGCAATCCGGGAGATGGCTGCAAAAGTCTGGGATATCACAAAGAAGAGGGATGACTCGGTCATTGCAGACCTCTTTACTGGCATGTATAAGTCAACACTTGTCTGCCCCGTGTGTGACAAAGTTAGCATCACCTTCGACCCCTTCAACAACCTCACCCTGCCGCTCCCGGTAGCCAATGTGTGGTCGAGGCCGGTCAAGTTCTACCCCCTGAATGCTCCTCCCGTCGAGATCGTGGTCGATATCGACAAGAATAGCAGCATCAAGACCATGAAGCAATACATTTCCGTGCGAGTCGGGGTCCCTTTGGAGCGCCTTTATGCGATTGAAGAATTTCAGGGAAAAATTTTTAAGATCTACGAGGATATGGCGACAGTCTCCGAAGAAATCCAGGCAAGCGATGTTCCAGCAGTGCATGAACTCGAGGCCCCGCCTACCAACACACAAGGTGCCAAGAAATTGAAGAAGCCGAAGTTCTTGTCACTGTCCGCCTACGACGATGACGAGGAGTCGCCCTCTCCCCGGGAAGACCCGCTGCCGGAGCGAATGCTTGTCCCAGTACTCCATCGAATGGAGCCAACCGGCCGGAGGCGATATGGGCAGAAGAAGACCTCAGACATTGTGCCTCCGCCGCACTTCATTGTCTTGACACCTGACGAGGCTCGTGACATGGAGGCGATTCGCCGAAAGATCCTGGAGAAGGTTGCCACATTTACAACGCTGCCAGGGCTCTCCACTGCCGACGACACGGAAGGATCTGAGACTACGGACCCTGAGATCATCAACATCGCATCCGATGTGGATTCTGCGGGCGATGCTAAAATCATTGCCCGGTCGGTTGAGGGCGAGGAAGACATTGTGGATGTTAGAATGAGCGATGCAACAAGTGCTCGGAAGACCACCGCTTCCGCGCCACCTGAAGCGTGAGCACCCCTTGTAGGATTGCGTATAAGACCGATTGCCGGCTGCTAACTATGCTCAAGATCATCACCGCTGTTGAAACGGTTTAAGCAATCGCGGCCCAAGTGGATTAACCCACTGGTGTTCCTGGACCCAGAACTGCAGAATATGTTTGACATGAGTTACTTTTCGGAGCAGGACACAGCCGTACCTACTGGGTGGCAGTCCACTTCCGATGAAGCACCCTTGCCTAGGTTGAGCACCAGGCTCCCAAAGCCGGTTCCTTCCGACATTGACATGCGGAGTCCCACGCCGGGGGATGGTTCTGACGAGAGCGGTAGCGAGGAGTCGGCACGACTACCGGCATCTGTGGTCACTCGCATGGTTGAAGAGTCTAGCGACGAGGATTCGGATTTCCCCAAAGTCAAGGTTCGTGAAAGCAACTGGAGCAGAAATCATCTATGAGCAGCGAGCTGATTATGCGTGTTCTTACGTTTGTGTCTCTAGCATCTGCAGTCTCGGCCCAACGGGACGTTCCACAGCCAAGTAAGCGCCCGGGGAAAGAACAAAAAGATGAAGTCCTATAGGACTTACAGTAAAAAGGGCAAGAAGCGGTTTGAGAAGCAACAGCGAGCTTTCCGTCCCAGTCAATCGATGGAGGTGGCCGATATGGAAAATGCCCTTCCCAGCGGCGCCTTGGTCGGTCCCGGTGAGGGACTGATGGTCGAGTGGAATGAGGATGCCTTTGACCGTGTCTTTGGGGGATCGCCGTCAGACAATGGGATGCGGGGAATGAAAACGTATAAGAACCTCACGACCCTGGAGGATCCCGCCCTCGAAGCCAAGAAGAAACAGCGGCAGATGCGTAAGAAACACGGTATCTCGTTGGACGACTGTCTGGACGAGTTCGAAAAGGAGGAAATCCTCTCGGAACAGGATACATGGTACTGCCCCCGCTGCAAGGAGCATCGCCGGGCCAGCAAGAAATTCGATCTCTGGAAGACACCAGATATTCTGATCGTCCATCTCAAACGGTTCAGCTCGAGCGGCTGGCGCAGAGACAAGCTGGATATACTCGTCGACTTTCCCGTCGAAGGGCTCGATTTGACGCAGCGCGTCATCGACAAGGAGGACGGGAAGCAGGAGGTCTACGACCTGATTGCTGTTGACGACCATTGGGGCGGCTTAGGCGGCGGCCATTATACTGCGTTTGCCAAGAATTTCATCGACGGCGAGTGGTACGAGTACAATGGTAAGTTTTCCATGTCCGAATTTGCGCGGCTTGTCAGACTCGAGAATCCCGCTAATGTCCCGAAGATACGTCGGTCCAAAAGCAAGCAGATACCTCGAGAATCGTGACATCGGCCGCCTATCTCTTGTTCTACCGACGCCGTTCCGAAGTCCCTTTGGGAGGTCCCAAATTCCAGGAAATCCTTGACCGTTATAACAACCAGGCCAATGCCGCCGACGAAGACGCGTCGGATTTGGGGGAAGGTCAGCGTCTCGGCCAAGGCTCCTCCCGTCGTGGATCGCCGAGCGCTTTGACCGGAGCAGGTCTAATTCTCCCTCAAGAAAATCGTGGTTTGGCTAGTCTCGCAGACGCCGAGCTCCCTCCGTATCAGTTAAGCACTGCTAACGTCGGGGAGGCCGACGATGAAGCAGAGTTGGGCGGTCCCTTGTCGTGGAGCACCCATGAAACCTTGCGCAACAGCATCGAAGGCGACGGCGAAGACGAGGGAATCGGTCTCGGCGAGTACGACAGTGCCGGTATGGCTGGCATGACATCAGTGCTTGGGCCCACCAATTGGAACTTCGCTGGCCTCGACAGCAAGCCGGACTCGGAGGCAGATGTCGACATTGCCAGCGACGTTGCCCAGAACGACGGGTCATCTGTCAACGGCGAAGTGTTCCATGGTGACCTGGACTCGCTGCTGCCTGTTGAGCCCGGTGCCGAGTACGCCGCGTCCTCGGAACCCGTCTCACAGTTCGCCGAATATGATGACCCGCCTGCCCCGTCGGACGAGCAGCAGAATTACTTGGGCCAGATTGCGGTGGAGACGTGGGATCGAATCCACAAAGTCCCTGCTGCCGGCCTAGGAGACGACCAGGGCAGCGATAAGGTCGCTGAGATACATGTCGGCGACGCCGAAGAGCAGGCGGTGGCGCTGCCGTCGACCGGGAAGCCGCAGGCCTAGAGTGCTGATTCCCTGATAGAGCCCGGCTCCGCGGACGCCGACTTACGTAGGCCGACGCCCGAATCGCTCGGGAAAGATGCCTCGCCTGCTCCGTTAGTTGAGGAGGAGCAGAACTCGGCAAAGGGGCTGTTGCGCGGCTTGGTGGTCGGGTTAACCAGGGTCTGGAGTACCGTTATTTTGCTCGTTTTTCTCTTGTTCCCACGGACAGCGATTCCAGCGATTGGGAATAGACTAAGAAGGGGAAGATGAGATGAGGGAGAGGTAGTCGCTCATGTTACTTGCGGAAAATGAATGGGCTAGGTTTATGACTAGGCTCTGCCTCGCAGCCGCAGAATGCGGCATCATCCGGATTGGGTCTCGGGGTTCTTGATTCTTCGGTTTCTTTAATATCAACCGCATGTCTACTGGCCTTGCTTATGCCTATATTGCCTGCCTGCCAGCCTGCCTGTCATGCCTTGTTCATCCCCTCAGTCGCCTGGCTATTGTTTTGCATGTGTGTGATGGAACCGGTGGGACCTGCTTGGGAACGAAGTTGGGTTCTGTTTGCTACTCGCACTGCATCTCATGGGAAGGGGACGTGGTCGGGGTTTGGCACAACCATGGAAGTCACTCGCAGCACGCCTTGTGCGGAGAGCTATGTTCAGGGACTGGCTGGGCTAGGCTGGATGGGGTTTACATGCGGATTGTTGATCCGGTCTGTCTAGGATCGTTACTTTAGGGGTTTATCCATGTTGGGTCGATTATTACCTGGGAAAGGAGACGATGATGTTTTTAGACAGGCGGTGGTGGTGGTGATGGAGGTGGGAGGTGGTTGTGGTAGCAATGATCGCCGCTGTGTCGGTCGTGGTCATGGTCTGAACTGAACAAACGGTGCAATTGTTGTTGCATTTGTCTTATTCTCATGCTCATGCTCATACATACATACGGATATGCTGCTATGCCATATACATCTACTCGACTTGTCCATGCGGGTTCAGCTTGTTTTGTGCTCCTGCGGAAGAGATTGTAAACGATTGATTGGCCTTCTCCCGCTGCCCCTTTCCTGCTCTGCCCAATCCGGTCACTAAATTGTCTGGTTGTCTGCCGAGTGGGTCGTCAGTCAGTTTGATATGGCATTTGGGGCATGTAGAGAGCTCAGATAGAGGGGTCGTGTTCCTGAGAGGTTCTGATAATGGGTGAAGTGTGTAGGTATCTGTGCGATCAGTCGCGGAGACCTTGTGAAATGGTGTACCGTGTGTTAACCTGGGAAAAGGGGGTCTTGATATGTATGAATGATCTCCGTCTTCAAACTCGAGAATGACGGGTTCTCTCTAAAAATATCCATCTCAGTCGTCTTGCATGCTTCACCCCCCAGATCCCGATCGCGCAATAGGTAGGTGGTGGTTCCTGGTTGGAGGTGTTTCGGCCCTGTCGATCGGGTCATGGTGGCACAAACATGGTTGGGCTTTAACACTTTGACACTTGGACTGGATCTCGACTATGCCTTGCGTATGGATACCTTAGTACTCCGTACTGCCCCCCCGCCTGGAGATATTGTAGGTATGTACAATACGCACATCTAGGTTGGTAGTGTAGCTGATCTTGATAGGTGTTTCTGGGCGCTGGTTCCCGCGGGAGTGGTGTATCCGGTGATTGGTACAACTACCGGATACCTTAACTTCTTTATATCTCGCGAATAGTGTAGAAATTGAGGGAGAGCTAGTGGTTGCTGGTTTGCTTGGTTAGCCAAGTACCTTATGTATTCCACCAGTCCTTGCTTGGACCATTCTACCCTGTTCAACCTCAGGTACGGAGTACTAGTAGATGCAGTACTAAGATGGACTTGGCTACCGCCAGCGGGCATCACTGTATTGCGTCCCAGTCTGGGTGATTTATAATTTACGGTACAGACATAGTCGTTCAGTGGCTAGCGACACGTGGTCAGGGCAACAATGAACACAAGGAAACCGGACATGGCAGACAAACATGCATGTCTCGGATTACGGGGTTTGGTTGCTGCATGTCAAGCAAAGCTGAGCAGTGAGGTCTGAGCGGGCAGCAGAGGTGGGTGTGTGGGAGCGGCCAAATTCCCATCAAAATCTGGGCAGGTTTCCATTGAATCTCACTTTTGGTTTTCTATAATCTGTTTTTGCACGGAAATGTATATATAGACAGTATATACCTACATGCTCTATGTACGTACCAAAATACATTTCTGCCCAAGCAGCAAGAAGCGGGCCGAGCGGCAGTTGGAGGTCGGGCAACACAGCTTTACCAAACGCCCGGTAGACATCGGACTCGGCCCGCAGCAACGGGGGATCGCGCCGGATGCGGAGGACGAGGGGCTGGTAGTGGACAGTAGGCTTGACCAATGCCGAATGCCGATGCACACCAGCCCCAGAAGCACGTATGCAAACCGCCAAGCTCTTCTGCTTGAGCTGTATGATGAGTAAACAGTTTATGTACATATATTTAGTAGTCTAGTGTATCTGTAAACCCCTGAGTTATTTGGCTCCGGGGATCCAAAAAACTACACTACTTGCTCCGTACATATTGCACTCTTCAGTAGTAAGGTAGTGATCGCGGGGGCTGAGCTTGGGTTTCAAGCGTCATGTAACGTTAACGTTAGCTCGGCGTGGCGCGCAAGAATGTAATTGGCGAGCGTCAAGAGGGGCAATGGCAATGTGTGTGTGGCATTCCAGGAAGCGGCACGGTTATAAACGATGGGACGGCCGGGGATCGGGCGCCGCGGTCGACCAGAAGACGGACCCAGGCATCGGACATGATGCAATGTTGCCCCAGGGTGCGTGTGTGCGTGTGTGGTGGGCGAGGTGGGTGACTCCAAACCCCGACGCAAAGGACCAGGAGAAGCCGAAAACTGTCGTGTGCAGAGAGCACGCCCGCTAATGCCGTGCTAATGCTGTGGAACGATTGGAATGTCCCGAAAGGTCATCTTTTTTGCTGCAAGGCAATAACGTAGGGACGGGACCTGCTTCGAGAAGGTTGTAATTATATAATCAAGCTTTGAAGGCCCGTCAGGCTAGTTAGCTGGTGCAATTTGTCGATCTCGTCGTCTCCGGGGTTCAGATACCAGCCGTGGACACCTGGTTCGGCCCGGACCCGGTCGCGCTTTGGGAAGGTCGACTGCTGCTTGCTGGCACGGTGGTGAATTTTGAGCTGGGCCGCCCTGGTCCGCCCTGATCCGCCCGAGGGAGCCGCCGATTTTGAGTGGAGATGCTACCGGTAAAACGCATTCTTCGGGTTCGAAAAGGCGCTGAAACGGCGATCTGTAGGGTCACCTAGTGTAGTGTATGTACTGGATGTTCACCGTGGAATATGAATAACTTACATGAAGCACAGTACGGAGTAATTGTGTTCTGGCGCTCGGGCGCAAGCCTAAGCAGAAAGGAGGTTTAGCGAAAGCCACAATCACTGTCCGGTTGAGAACGTCGCAGGTTTGATCGTTGATGCGAAATGCCCGTCGTTGGTACGGATACACTACGGAGAACCTGCGTACTCCGTAACTAACGTATGTACTGCTGCTGTCCTGTTGTCCGTGCCACCTTGGCCATGTTCTGATGAATAAAAGTTTACAAAGTTTTGGCAGCCGTGTCAATCGGAATTCGGAGCCTCTTGGGCCGCGGGCTGACGCTGTCCGGTACGGCTGTCGATGAGAGCCAAGACGCCAGCAAAGAGTCAGTTTGCAGTGATGTTCCTCGTCTGACTACGGAAGATTTCCAGCTTACAGGGGGCGGACTGCATATGACCCGATGTGAGTAGAGCGCCGAGGACAATAACGTGTAAACTACTCCGTATTTTACTACATCAATATGATACAATACACTAGCTGCCTGTAAATTACGGATTTCCCTGTACAATTACTACAATACCACGGTAGGACTGACGCTCTTCTCCGTCCCGAATTTGCTGATCCAGCCTTCGCGCCCTCGCGCCCTTATCCTCCTCGCCAACCACTTGCATGCCGTCTGGGCGGCGAGGTGAGATTCCATTGTCAAATACTTGCTACCGGGCCACAGCCATGCCTCTGTAGATGGGCTAGGTTGGGCTAGGCCCGGCCGGGCGGTCTGTCGCAATTTTTACACCAAAAAATACTACAATTGCTGCGAGCGGGCGTCTGGCACAGCGCATGTGGATTTGCGCTGCATCCTCGCAGGCAGGAAAAAGCGTGCAATTGTTGTCCCTTTATTTTTGCGCGACGGGGCCTGCAGCAGCTCGTGCCATGGCAGAGTCGAGCTTTTTGGTTTGCAGACGCAGTGTTCGACAGCTCTTCGAGAAGAAAGCCAGAAGGCCAGGGGCAGCTTCCTTGGCCTTCGATGGACCAGTGAGGACCCACCCCGGCTCTGCCTGAGATTGCACCTTTGCCTTCGCGCGGCATCCTCCATCCAAGAGAGCCTTCTGACTGGCTCTCGCCACGAGGAGGAGGGGAAGCATGCATCCACACCTGCACGCATCCCCCGATGAAATGCTGCCCTTCCACGCAGCAAATGCCCCCGCAGTCCTCCGTGCGATGTCGTTCACATCCCGTTGCGAGGTCCTTGCACTGATCAATCACCATTCATCAACCATCAAATACCAGCCCAATCGTAGAAAAAGGCTTTATTTCCCTTTCAATTGATTTGCACCCGGGTCTCACTTGTTTCTGGCACTGTGATTGCCAAATACGGTTCACCAGCGCCGGGCTTGGGGCGACACTGTGCACCTGCTTGACGAGTGCAGTACAACATGGTCCCTGCTAGGGTTTACTTGGGTTTCTCTCTGATAACTTTAGCGGCACGGCTGGCATCCATTCACCTCACCCGGCAACCTTAGCTTTGTCCGCTTCGTCCCTTCACATCCCCGCGACCTTCTGTAGGTTCTGGTCGTCCTCCAACCCATCTCTGGCATTGTCCATGGCCTGGGACCCTCTACCGTGTCACAAGACAGACATCACGTAGTAGTTAGACACTGGGTAAGGCGCAGCTCATTGCTCTGTTCCCCTACACACACGTATTTCCAACGGTCCCTGGTTCATCCTTCTCCCTCTTCTCCACCTTCCCTTCTCCCGTACTCATAGCCCTAAACCCACACGCACCCCCTATCCACAACGGTCCGGGCCTGTCATCGCCGGTCGCGCCGAGTGCTGGTCTGGGCTTTTCTCCCTCTCTCCCAAATCTTCTCGGCGCACCGACCCGGACCTCTGCTTTTCTCAATCCAAGGCCCTACCCTCCTCAACCCCGTCGAGGTCACCGCGAACGTCGTCTCAATACGGTCGATGAGTATGGTATGTCTAATCTGAAGCGGACAGACCCTATAGACGCCCCCGCCTTCTGCCAGTTACCCAAACCTTTATGCCTCGAAATTCCTGATCAGCGCCCGCGAATGTTTCTGTCCTAGGCCAGACGCGAAAACGACACCTCCGTCCACCGCGGCAATAGGATATCTCTAAGCGACTTTTCGTTGTCGCATCACTCTTCACTCTTGGGGCCGCATCCATTGGCTTGCTCGCACCTTGGGCATTCACCTGGAGAGGCCACCACCTCTGAATCCCCCGCCGAACGCGATCGGAGCCGAGCCGCCGTCGGAATCTTCGGACTGGCTGGCCTTCCCTCTTGAGAGACGTTTGCTAAGCGCGGGCGCCGTATCCGGACCCTGTCTGGCCTTGCGCACGTTTAACCCCGTGGCGGAAGCGTACCTAGTCGCAAGACTGGTCGCTTGTCAGGGCCACCATGGAGCATGTCGAGTGTAACGTTATCTATGTTGACCGATCCGTGTCACGGGATCGTTTTGTTAGAGCCAGCGACGAAAGCGGCGACAATGGCGCTGTCGAGTGGGAGTCGGCGCAGGTTGCAGAGAATGTCAAACTTCTACTGGACGTCTTTGGGGAAGGTATGTAATTTACCAACCCCCCGTCGTACATGCATATATACCTTTTGCTCGGTATCGCTCTGGCTAACAACTGATGTCTGGAACTAGTCCATCTGTGCAGCACCGGAGTCGCATGCCTGACTCAATGGCTGGATCTTCAAGAAACCTCGATGGTGGCCCTCAAACCAACACTTTTCCTTCTAGACACCCCATATCAGGAGCAGATACCCGAACGACCTCCCTCCAGATCCCCATCGCCGCTCTCTTCGTCCGCCGACGGCACAGAGAACCATGAGGAGCTATACGGGCTGGCATTGATGCGGAAGATTATCTCAGAATCGTATGTTCGGAATTCGACAAAACTAGTTGTCACGATTCCCGTCATCGCTTTCCCCAACGGTGGCAGGCCAGAAGAGATCGAGCGTTTGGACGGATCCAGCGGCGAAATCCCCATCAGGCGAGCCAATATGAAGATGCTCAAGAGGTGTCTCGATCTCGGCGCCACTGATATCATGGCGAGCCCTATGACCGCCAACTGCGTTACTAACCTTGAGGTTCATGCCTACCGCGCCCGTCGAGACGCTGCCCGCGAACAAAAGGCCATGTTGGAAATCCGTCGAGGCCGAAAACGATCATGGGTTGGCATAACCGAGGAGAAGCCGTTTGCCTATCTTCGAGAAGCCATGGTGTCAAAACTCATGAGTTGGATTTGCCGCATCGGTAACGAGGATGAGGATGGGTTAGGGAACATCAGAGTGTCGGTTCCGGTGGAGAGGCAGGCCGAAGTTTCGCTGGCAGTCGGTCGATGGCACTTTTGCGCCCATCGTTTCACAGACGATGAGCTTGTGGTGGCAGCTGCTGTCATGTTTAAACATGCATTGTCCATGCCCGAGTTGGAACCATGGCGGATCCCAACAGGTGTGTGTCTGTCCCTAGCCGTTCTTCCTGGTGCCTCCTGTTGGAATTCATCTCGACAGACTGCTGACCGGCTTTCTCAGACCAGCTGCACAGCTTTGTTTTAGCCTGCCGGGCTGCTTACAATGGATTCGTCCCATACCATAACTTCCGCCACGTCGTTGATGTTCTGCAGGCAACCTTCCACTTCCTCGTCTGTATTGGGTCGTTACCGCCCTATCCGTCGACCAGTCCTTTGCCTTCTCAGGCAAGACCAAAGTCCCCGAGTGCGCAGCTTATAGCGCCGTTTGAAGCTTTGACGCTCCTCATCACGGCTATTGGCCACGATGTCGGGCATCCGGGTGTCAACAATGGCTTCTTGGTGACATTGAACGCGCCCCTCGCGCAGCTATACAACGACCGGTCCGTCTTGGAATCGTTTCACTGCGCCGCTTTCTCGCAAATCCTGCGGAGGCACTGGCCTGCGGCTTTTTCCGATACCAAGATGCGCAGCCTCATGATCAGCTCCATTCTCGCCACGGATATGGGCCTCCACTTTGACTACATGAAGAAAATGGCGGATCTTCAAGGCCAGTTGCGCGCGAGCAGCTGTGTTGACGGTTGGATTGAAAGCACCTGGAATGAGCAGCAGAAAGCTCTCGCATGTGCTCTGATCATTAAATGCGCAGATATCAGCAACGTGGTGAGTAAAGGCGACCGGAATGTATCGTGAAGAAATTGAGGCGCCCTACTTACCCATCCTTCAACAGGCACGACAGCAGGATACGGCTTTTCAGTGGATGCACGTTCTCGCCGATGAGTTCTCCCGGCAGGCTACGATGGAGAGAGAATTGGCCATCCCTACGTCTCTGATGTCGGAACCGAAGAAGGATATGATGTCGCTGGCCACGGCCCAGTTGAAGTTCATGACCTTGTTTGCCATTCCTCTATTTCAGGGCGTTGCAGATATCCTACCCGCAATGCAGTACTGCGTGGACGAGCTCCAGCTGAACAAGCGCTTGTTCGACAAATGCCTTGCGGAAGAACAGGAGCGTGCCTCGTCCAATCAATCGATACAGAAAGCCGTCGGTGAAGATCTATCACCCAAAACCATAGCCTTCACAAACACACCGGAACCGCCAACTGAAGCGCATCCTGCAAGAGGTCCCACGGAGCTTGTCCCGGGATTCGCCGAACTTCAATTTGCCACAAGCACCGCTATCAAGCAAACTGACTACGACCATCGGCCGGCCCGCGGTTCCGTACGAATGGTGGATGGGATTGTAACGACCTTTGGACCAGCGAATGACTCGGGTTGCAGCGACTCTAACAGCATGGATGACTACCATGCTCGCGGCCTCACCAAACAGAGATCTAGCGAGACCACCGAGGGCAGTTCGGCACCATACACGACAGATTGGGCTTCACAGGCAAACAGCGCGACAACGGGTAAGATGCCGTTGTCACCTAGCACCCAGGGGACTAGCATCGTCAGTAGGGATTCATTCGAACATCCCGGTAGTGTCCCGGTGACAAGCGTGACAGCACCCGAGTCGACAACGACTGTCCCGGAGTCATCAGCGGAATCGTCAATGAGCCAGACGGAGCTGAAGCTCGACAGATATCCGCCGGACGAGGAGGCATCGGTGAGGAATGGCTACACAAACGGAGCAAAGAAGTGTCTTCTAGTGCCAGAGGAGCCCAGTTGCAGGCAGCTGAAAAAGAAGCCTAGCCGTTTCCGAATCAACGGCCTGCATGCACTCTTCAGGAAACACAAGAGCTCGAGTCCGCCCATGCAAGCCGCCGACACGGCCGGATAGACGGATTGCCGTGGATGCTACTGCTTAACCCCGCAACCTCATGCCCGCCAGGCAATAGAGGATATAGGAAAAGCAGGCAAAAACGAGATTTGCAGCGGCGCGCTACGCGGAAGAGCGGGCATTTCAGGGAGAAAAACGCTGGACTTCGAGCCCGATGAAGGACCGCCGATTTGGGTTCCTCTAACTGCTGGAAACAGCCTCCTTAAGAGCCCTGACATGCCTCCTGCACGCCGTCTCGTTCTCGGACTGCAGCATGGACTGAATATAACAGAATGAGACTCTCCTTCCGCATCCTAAGCGGAGGAGGGATTGTACGAAGTCAAGACATTTAGCTGGCGTCGATGTTTGCGATTTTTTTTCTCGACATGCTACGTTGACGCCCCGTGTACGATAATGCCGCTGGGCATTGAACTGTAAGGGGTGATCTCTCGCACCCCTCCTGTTTGCTTACCCTCGCAATCTCCGTCCCCCTCACTCCTTCCGGTTTCACAAAACACTCTTCTCCTGGTGATCCCGAAACGACTTGATATTGCGATATTACACCTATAGGCCCGCCTCGTGCCGTCAACCTCATAGGGATAGCGTTGATGTGAGGGAGAGGCTCTCATATGGCTTGGGAATAACCGGAAAACCGGAAAAGGGAACCGAAGAAGGCATGGAGTCATCTGACAGGCTGTTTCTGCAGATAGCTCTGGAGGTAGGGCAGGGTTAGTTGGATTTGACATTCTACTGGTGTGGTGGTGGTTGCGACTCTCTCACATCTTCACATTGGTTTTGTGGCTACGCGTTTTGTCCGGGTTTACTACTCTATGGTGCTATTTATGGGTTTACGGATGGGATGCGATTGGGGGGGGAGATACCCCTTTGCGGTGCCTACTGCCAGGAGTACTAAAGGAAGAAGCAGGGTGGCTAGGAAGCGGGATATCGTAGGAACGAGACACATGGAGGGCTTGGGAGAGTGGAAGAGGGGGAATGGGATGTGTATATCTGTATGGAAAGAAGGGTGTAAAAAGCTGCGAAATACAATACCGACATGTTCACCATCATCAACTAGCTGGCCAACAAATATCGGGCTGTGACTGTCCCTATCTACCTTCCTTTCCAATGCTACCTAACGTTTGAGGTGTGTTGTCATATCTTGGTCATGATGTTTGCGGTTACTCACTGAGTCACTGGCAGGCTTGTGTACTGTACTGTACATGCAGTCCATTCCAACCGACACTACCGGTATATCAAACTTGTAGCTCTTACACCTTTCACCCCCACTGGGTAGTATGGTAGAGTGGCAGACATCCGAGCCAGCAGACCTGGAGACTCGCAGTTCGAATCATGCTCCAAAGAAGTGGCTTTCTCCAGTTTCAAACTATTGGTATTTCAAAGTATAGCAAGGACTCAATGAACTTCAACTCCCAATTCGCCCCTATGTGCTTAAGCATCCAGAACGCTTCAGACAGCTTTCATGCAAAGTTCAACGGCTTCCTTCCTCCCCTTTGATACCGCCTACGCTCCGGCGGAGCAATCCCATACCGGCGCTCATAGCGGGACAAATCATCCGCGGCCTGGTTCCTGGGCGGCCAAGAGCTCTTGCGTCGCAGGAGATTGACCGCGATATCGTCGCTGTGACGACGCAGGAACATTGTGCTCGGCCATCCAGAACGCTTCAGACAGCTTCCATGCAAAGTTCAACGACGCTGCGGCTCCCTTCCTCCCCTCTGATAACGTCTACGCTCCAGAGGCGCAATCGCATAGCGGACCTCATACGTGGTCAAATCTTCCGCGTCCTCGTCCCTAGGCGGCCAAGTGCCCGTGCGGCGCAAAGGACTAACCGCAATATCATCGTCGTGACGATGCAGGAATATTCGGCCGTCCCGATCCAGGGGCTCGACTGGAGCCCTTCTGAAGCCTTGAAGATCGCCCTCGGGATGGTATATGAGGCCGATTGGGGAACGCCGACCGCCGTTGTTGTGAGCCAGTATGATCCCGCGGGAGGGGCCAGGATCGTTAGGGGGGTTGGCCATGATATCGGCAGCGGTGCGGTTTCGACAATTCTCGACCTGAGTATAAGAAGCAGCGGCTCTGTTCATGTTGAAAGACACACGCCCCGGAACGTTGACAGGGAATTCGTAGAGTCTCTCCCCATCTCTTAGCTATGGTCATTGAACAGCTTCGCAGGTGGCAGCCCTGGTCCTCTGGGTTCGTCTCTGTTCCTGTACACATGCGGAAAATATCGGTTGTTCCGCCTGCGATAGAGATCGTCAGGAATGCTCTTGGCCTGATCCTCGACCACTCTCACAGGAATGACACCGCGTGGGGTATAGTATTGCCATAGCGAGTGGTATTAGCAGCCAGACACTATAGCCCCATCACTTCCATGGCCATGAGCTAGGTCTTAGGGTCCCTACCAGGTCCTCATCCCTCTGTTCCGAGCCACGCCTTGGGCTAACACGCGCGGAGCGGAATGGATCCATGGGTTGGCGTTCAAATCCTCTGACCAGTAACGAACAGTAACAAACGTTGTATATATAAGACAAGGCACTCTATGTCGATCAATCTGCTCACAGTCGTTCAACGAGCGGAACGAAGGGACAATGAAGCTTAGTGGGTAGGAGATGTTGAGGAAATCGTGGTTCACTGATCAATTCCCAGTGCTTGCCTGCCTGAAGTCTGGGGAGGGCTTGCCTTCCCTTTTGTACTTGTCATGGTGACAAGTTCCAGGTGTCTAGAAGAGTACTTGTCATCATGATAAGTTCCAGGTGTCTAGAAGACTGGATCAAGAGATGAAAATCGCCAACTACGCGCCAGCTATTCGTCATACGGATCTGACGCTCTCCCTGCATAGGTTAAAATTAGAGGAATGTCCATGTTTGCCCCGTGATGCCCCGGAACGCTTCAGATCATAGGAATCTGTTGACGCGCCGGCGAGGTCTGTATCCAAGGGCCGAGGCATAGCGTAGCGCTTCCCAAGGAAACCGAATACTCCTATGAACAATAGATATTGGAAAAGTGTTGAAACCAGATCCTAACTTCTATCCACATACGTCGTTCAGAACTATTCCATCGGGCCTAGCTACCCAATGATAACTCACTTGCGGTGGATATGAGGTACTGACGAAACAGGAAAATCGATTGGCCAGATCTCTTGCCTGCGCTAAAATGTGTCAAGTCCACAAAAGATGGCCGGCGCTTCCAGCGGCTAGGGTGTAATAAGCGCTCTGGTTGCGTTGATCGGCTTAAACATGTGTGAGGTTTGTAGAGCACAGCCACTCATACCCCTCAGTTACCTCCAAGCAAGACACATCGTAAGTACGGACGTACACAGTAGTTCGTAGAGCTTTGCGATAAAATCTTAGGAGAGGCCACAGCAGATGGCTGGACTAGCGACCTCGTGTAATTAATAAACAGCTGCACCAACATTCCACTCACTCAACCTGATTTGATTGTGTCCACAGAGTGCCCCTCGCCATAACGCGCTTCGCATTCCCATCATTCCTTAGAGGACCTACAACTCGCTTACAGACTCCTTATCGACTTGCTTTTACTTGTCGCTCGATTACTGCTGCACCTGCGATCATGAATCCTGAGGACACCAAGTGGTTACATTGTCTTGAGGAGGTACAGAAGAGTGACCTCTCTGACGAGGACGAGCTGAAACTACTTGTCTTCGTGAGAGATCTGCTTCTTGCGCCGGATGAGGACGAGGACGTGACGACAAGGACACTCAACGCCATTCAAGAGTATTATCGGGCCACATTTTTCTTCCCAGACGAGCCGTCATGAAAGAAAGATCCGGGGTACGGGAGTGCTATAGTGGTCTCGGCTCTTGTCAACCTCGTCTTCCAAGTCGCTCGGTCGGTCCCGTACAACGACGTCAGGCTCAAGCGGCTTGCCGATCTGCTCATAGGGCTCAAGAAAAGCCTTTGTATCGACGCTGAACATTACAATCCAGAGGATCCTCGGATTATTTGGAAAGACGAGCACTTGCTAGAGGCTGCCAGCGGGACTAGCCATGCATATTCCCGTACGTACGCAATTGCCCACAGCACGATAGCTAATAACAGTGCTTCATACTGACTTGTTTTTGATATACCCGAACCAGTTGGCCCTGACGACAAGCCGGAGTACTGCAGAATGGCTCTCAGTATGTTCACCTTGTTGGCCAGAATCACCGGCGCTGGACTTTGGGGCGACAGGGGAGTATTAGTGGCGACGGATAGCATCGATGAGGGTCTGAAAGGGCCTGCTCCAGCTATTAGATCCAACCCCTGCGCTCTGAATGCCGCCGCCGTCATCGCGGCGCAGTACATCCTACTTGCTGGGGAGGTCCTGGTCAAGTACGCCAACTCACTGGACAATCATATTTATCGTGAAGCCTGGCCAACCCAGGAGAAATGGAAGATTTGGGCCGCGAAATTCAAGGACATCGCGAGATCGGCCCCTGACGAGGACGAGTGGGACCTTAAGAGAACTGCTCAGAAGGCGTACGAGAAGATGATCAGTTTGTGGCCAGAGTTGTTCGAGAGAAATTCATGAGAAGGAGGGCACAATGTTGATTAGTTACTCAATCAAGCCTACATCACATCTTATTTTGAGGATCGATCCAAGGTCTGCTTATTCCTTATCAAGCTACTCGAGCCCTCATCACATTTCGCTGAGAATTGGCCCCAAGTCAGAACTTTCCAATTGTGAGATATGAGATGTGGCAAAGAAACAGTGAATGCGCCATGTCCTTCTGAGCTCAACTCGTTTAAATTCCTACATACAAAAAGTACTTTGACTAACTATTCAACGAGAGCAATCGAATAGCAATTCTCATATACAATACTGGGCATAGCTATCAATGCGCGAACCACTCACCGCCCAACCAACGGTTCAGGAAGTTGAGCGAATTCTCGGGTTGGTCCATGGGCACCATGTGGCCAGCCTGATAGATGCGCATGAAGGTAAAGTTGCCCGAGGCCTTGACCTTGCCGTACTCCTTGTCAGCACCGGCGAGCTTCAGGTCCTTGATCGAGGCCTTGTTGAAGTCCTTCTGGCCCGGCCATTCAAGCGCCTCAGTCCACGCCTGGTTACCGAGCCAGTTGCAGATGTAGTCAGCATCGCCGGCATAGATGAGGACGGGAATTTCCTCGAGGATCTTGGGAACCAGGCGATGGAATGGCTGCATCCAATCGCCCTGGAACAGGAAGTTGCGGTTGATATCAAAATTGCAGCTCTCGTAACCCGAGACCTCGACGCCAAGGGCATCCATAACCGATTTCTGGTTCAAGTAGTCGCTGATATAACCAAGGGCGCTGTAGCAGAGGTTGCCGCTGTCCTCGCACTTGCCACGAATGTCATAGACATTCTGGCCGGTCCGCTGATACGGGCCAATCATGGCGTTGTTGCAGTAGATCGAAGCTGGAACGCAGCTCCACACGCTGCCGCTCTCATAGCAGTTTCTGATCAAGGACTGGCACCGCGGCAGAGCGTTGTCCATGCTGCGGCACTCGGATTCGCTGAGGACAGCGGGATAACCGCCCTCGCCACAGGCCATAGGGCGGTAGTACTCGTACTGCGTGAGGCCATCGGTCAAGCCATTGCCAATGAGGACAGATTTGAGATTGATGTTCCGGTTCTTGTGCGACAGGATCTCGGAGGCAAAGACGGGAATGTAGTGCCCGGCATACGACTCGCCCGCAATGTGGAAGTCTTGCTTTGCGTACTCGGGGAATTGATGGAAGAACAGAGTCAGGAGAGCATAAACATCCTTGCCAGCAGCAATGGTGTTGCTCACGGAAGATCCAGAGTACGAGTACCCAACATTGACGGGTTGGTCGAGGAAGATGACCGAGGCATTGTTGTTCCAGCTGAACTCGTTGTTGACAACCTTGAGCTTCTTGTCGATTGATGAAGGACCAAGCTCAAGGAAAAGGCCAGTCAGGGATGAACAACCCGGGCCGCCATTGAGCCACAGGACGACCGGGTCGTTCTTCGGGTCGTTCCGAGATTCAAAGAACCCTGAATGCTTAGATCAGCAAAACCGTTCTCACCGGCGAGCCAGCAATAGCACTTACAGTAGAACAGGTGCTTATCGTTGGCCTCGTCGTCAAGATAGCCGCTATATTGCTTGACCGAATCGACGCCGAGTTTGGACGGATCGACGGCCTTGACGCGGAGGTTGAAATCCTCAATGCGGCCGTCGACCTGGCGATGGCTTTGGCCATCGGCATCCTGTACCCACAGTTTCTGCACATCAGCACCCTTGACGACATGGTCCCAGTCGCTGCGGCGGCGATGCGGCTTCGGCTTGCTAAACCAAGTGGAATGCTCGAAAGCCTTTTCGGGGACGAGGAGCTTAATCTCGTCCCACAGTGCCTTAGCTTCGGCGGTGATGCCTTGGAAAAAGTCCTTGGGCAAGTCCTTGGGCTGGGAGCTCTCAATAGGACGAGCAATCGACTCAGCGAATGCGTCGCTAACAGGCTTCATGGCTTCTTCGGCCCTGCCGAAGCCATCTGAAAGCACATGCTGGGCTTGCTGCTGGAATGAGGCTGCCGAAGCAGCCCCGAGCAGCACTGTTGAGGCAGCGATCCTCATTGCACTTCCGGACAAAGGACAGTTGCTTTCTTTGATGATAGCTGATGGCAACAAAGGCGAAACTGGGAATTGAACGGTTGGAAGGGTGATGGAGTGATGAAGGGGAGGATGGGGAAGAGAGCTTGGGGGAAGGAAAGACAGTGCACTATGAAACAGAAACTCCAGCTAGACTTGGGAAGCGCTTGCGTCAATCAGGCAGGCAAAGGTTGCGCCACGGCCCCGTTGCTGGGTACCTTGCAGGACAGGTCACGAGAAGGCAAGAAAGTGGGGCATTGACAGCGGAGAGTCGGAGACACCATTCTGCCTCATCTGCTTATCGCGGAGCAGCCAATTGCAGACTAAATACAAATCGGCTGCTAGCCTCCTCCGCACGCTGATAAGTCGCCCTGGACCATCAGCTTCGTCATTGATCCGGCAACCGTTAGGAGATAAGTACAAATTATGCAGTCCAAGCAGTCCTCATGTGCTTTTACATCCGACCATGATGAGATCCTGTAATTTTATTCCTCGCTATCAACTTCAGAGTGTTTGTCCAGAGCGTTGGCCTCTCTCATATCGGCGATTCTGCTGGCGACCGAGACTTCCGCGACACCGCATCAAGGGCAAGGCAAAGGTGAGAGCTCTGATACGGTGCCAGCACATCCCGCCCCGCAGGTGAGGCGAATCCAAACTCTTGACTCATAACGAACCTGCGACAGTAAACGGCCTTACGAGACTCGTCTTCAACAACATACTAAGGTCTTAAATAAAGGTTACAAAACTGGAGGGGGAAATAGACGAGAACGAAAACAGAAAGTGGAAGAACAGTAAGTTGGACTTCGAAGTAAGATCTTGATGCTTACAAACGTTACGGTGTTCGAGCATCTGGCCGTGGTTGTGGTTGTTGTTGTGGATACTGCTTTAGCAGGTTAGTAGATCCGGAATGGCAATTTGGATGGAGAATATCCATTCGTACAGTGCCGCTATTTAATTGTGTTCAAACTTCACATTCTAATGGCGGGGTACATAGGACAGCAAGATTCAAGTAGTATCTGTAACTTGAATGGGAAAAATCTGAAGATATCGACTGCTCACATTTTGTACAACCTGCCGCAGAACACAACCCCAATCTCCCTTCCTCCATCTACCTATATGCTATCGGCCGAGGGCCTTGACTCCAGCGTGAAAGTAACGCAGTCTCGTCCGAACGGAGTCGCATCACAACCCCGCCATCATGGTGATTCAACAACCCTCTGGCCAGATCAAACTCACCAACGTTTCTCTGGTACGCCTCAAAAAGGGCAAAAAGCGTTTCGAGATTGCCTGCTACAAGAACAAAGTCCTCGAATGGCGCTCGGGCATTGAGACAGACCTCGACAACGTCCTTCAGATACACTCCGTCTTCCTCAACGTCTCCAAGGGCCAAACCGCGCCTTCGGCAGAGCTTGCCAAGGCCTTTGGCAAAGATGCCTCGGTCGACGATATCATACTCGAGATCCTCAAAAAGGGCGAGCTGCAGGTTGGCGAGAAGGAGCGCAGCGCGCAGCTCGAGCGGGTGCACAACGAGGTCATCTCCATCGTGGCCAGCAAGCTCGTCGACCCGCGGACCAAGCGCGTCTACACACCGGGCATGATTGAAAAGGCGCTCGACATGCTCAGCTCACAGGCCCACCACCAACAACAACAGGACAAGGACAAAAGCCACACCCCGACGAGCGGGGCGAACAGTGCGGGCGCCACTCCCGCAACGGGCGAGGCAGGCGAGAGCAAACCCCAGCAGCCCCCAGCGAAGGAGCACATATGGACCGGCGTGACGACCAACAAGAGCGCCAAGTCCCAAGCGTTGGACGCGATGCGAGCCCTCATCGCGCGCCAGCCTATCCCCGTTACCAGGGCACGCATGCGGCTGCGTATCACCTGTTCGACCAGCGTGCTGAAGCAGGCCGTCAAGGCGCCTAAAGCGCCAGGGGGCAAGGGCGGCGCCGGTGCCGAGGAAGATGAAGCGGGGGAACAAAAGGCTCCCGGAACGGTCAAGGACAAGATCCTCAGCTTTATCGAGCAGGTCGAGAATCAGGACGTCATGGGATCAGAGTGGGAGATTGTCGGCTTTGTAGAACCGGGCGCCTTCAAGGGCTTGTCGGATTTCATAAGTGGTGAAACAAAAGGGCAGGGGAGGGTAGAGGTCCTGGACATGGCAGTCACTCATGAGGATTAAAAGGATGAGAACGATTTGCGACCATTCTCGATACCCCAGCTCTCCTTTTGTAGCATATGTTGAGAGGCTTTTTGGCGTTGGGCATCAAAATTTCCCCCAAAGATATACATCATATGATGAGGCATCTCTACCAGCACGCAACAGCACCGCAGGAAGACATACCCGGAGAAAAAGGAAAAGAGAAAAGGGAAAAAGAAGACGTACAACACCGAGGATTCGCTGGTCGTCACCGACCCAACTACTAATTCGGCGATCGGTCGCTTATCTAAGGGAGAGCGGACGGGATCCCGAGTTTTCTACCGCCTATGGTCGTACGTGCTGGGCAGAGATTCGGAATGGGTTCATAAGGGCGTTCTGTTTCCGCTCCCCCTTTCCCAATGCAATCCATCATGGTCTATACTTGCATCATCACTAAAGAGCAGGCCACGAGTCCATGTCATTACTTTTTTCATATCCGCGCCAGTGTTGTCATGCTGTAAATCATGGTGGTTCCCTTTATGTCCAGCGAGTTCCCTAACGGATTGCAGAGATCTTCGCAAGGTAAAAAAATCAACCCGAGCCGTCCACGACCACCCCTTAGCCTTGGGATAACACCGCCAAAAAGCCAAGTACAGCAATGCCAAAGAACCCCGCACGCCTGAGAAAATGCTTAACCACCCTTCTTCTTGGACACACCAACGGTCCGGCCGCGACGGCCAGTCGTCTTGGTGTGCTGGCCACGGACACGGAGACCCCAGTAGTGACGGAGACCGCGATGCGCCCTGATCTTCTTCAGGCGCTCAAGATCCTCACGGAGCTTAGAGTCGACACCGTTGGCAAGGATCTGCGAGTCCTTGCCATCGACGATATCGCGTTGACGGTTGAGGAACCACTATCGCCCGGCTGTCAGCTAACAATTGTCACGCATGACTTCGGCGGGGCATAACGTACCGTGGGAATCTTGTAGGCGGTGGGGTTCTGGATGATGGTGACAAGACGCTCAAGTTCCTCAGAGGTGAGCTCACCGGCGCGCTTCTTCAGGTCGACATCGGCCTTCTTGCACACGAGGTTGGCTATCCCCATCCAGTCAGCATCGCATTCTCGAGGTATGCTCGCATCGAGACGGGAAAGGGTCTCTGTCAAGTTGTCACGAGCTCGTGGTGCGGAGGGACATACAGTAGCGCCGACCAACGCCCTTGATCTTACTGAAACAAGCGTTAGTTTGGAGAGATTGAATATTGGATCGATGCTGAGCACTCACGTCAAGGAATAGACAACCTTCTGCTTGCCGTCAACGTTGGTGTTGAGCAGACGCAGAATGTGGTTGAAGTTGCTCTGCAACCCGTTAGCAGGCGCTCCTGGTTATGATGCGGTTCAACACAATTCAGTCCTCTTGGTGGAAGGGAGAAATCCTGCTCGAAATCCGACTTCCTGAGCTGCGGCGGGAGTCGGATAGAGTCCGGTTGCGATGAGTAGTCGCTCCAACACATGGAATGGCGGGCCGGGAGTCATCGGGTCGCCGGCTGAGGTAGGTATGCCCTTATCGATGTGTGCCCCATCTTCTTTAACCTCGAGATCCAACATTTCCACCTTGAAACCGTAGTATCGTTCTTCTTGCTCCAAGTGCAATGCAGTCGATAGGACGTAGTCATCGTCTTGGTCTGCCAGTTCAGCACAGTGGTGTGCTTTTCACCGTGTAATCGAAACCTGTCGATCGGTTCTCGCAATATTCTGCGCCGAAATGCCCACGCAGCTCAGGAAGATCGAGTGGATTGAAGCAACGGAAGGTATCGGCAGCCTGGAATCATATATCGTTTGAGTAAAACATACCTTCTCTCCGGATACCAGAGACATGTTGGGCAACTTGGTGCAGACCGGCACTCGTTGTCCTAGAATTGGTTGAAGTCCGAGATCGTGGGAAGGGTACCGGTAAATTTGTGCCGCGATAAGTTTTGGAATTTCTGTGTGATCACGTGGTGGGGCAAGAGGGACCTCTAAGGTGAGCCTGTGGGGCCATTCTTCTCTGACCGAGGTGAAGCTTTTCAGTTACATAGTACAGTAGTGTAGCACCAACACTCCTTGGCAGCAGATTGTTCCATTGATAGCTCGTCCCACTGCCCATTGCATTGAAAACTCAAACATTTCACCAACTCTACAGCTAACCATCAGCGATCTCAAACTGCAGCGGCAATGTCTAGCTTGCCATATCCTCATCTCAAGTACATTAACATACCGTTATAGGCAGCAAAAGCTCTGATCCTGCCGACGAGCTACTGAGTACTGACTGCCAGATCAGTGGAGTTGCAGACGGCCAGCGAATCCGCTTTCATAGTTCTGTTTGCTCTCTCATTTACCTGTTTGAAGCTGACTGCATGACTCCTTCCTTATGTTTCAGTCTTTTCAAGTTCTTTTGCTAGACTGTCGCTCGGAGCCGGCTCGGGAGAGTCCCACCTCACTCGACTGTGGCTGAGCTAAAGACTGAGGCGATGACGTTGGCTGCAGGCGGGCCGCCCTGTGCCTGTCCAACCATGGCGGGGTTGATCGTCTCCCTCGAAAGCGGGTAACACGCAGGCGCTGACCATCCTCCATGTGCCTCCTGAGCTCAGCCTCGTGACTCGTAACCTGATGGCAGTTTATGCAGCGCTTGACTGACAGGATCCTGCTAGCTGTTACATCTGATTCCTCTAACAAGCGAGTCTAATCCTATCTCACCGCGAGAGATTCGTAGCTCGTCACGGCAGGAGAAACGTGCTTCATCCTAGCAACTCCGGAGGTCTTTTATTACGCGCCGAGGCTTTACTGGCTCCGGTTATAAGGTTGTCCACAACCGCTTCAAGTTGGTTGGCGATTGTTGGATACAAGAATTCCCTCACCAGTACCACAGGCTGCTAGCAAGATGCTCGACGAGAACCTCCCAACCTTCCGGCTCAAGCGATCCTCCGAGAACCCGCTCTCGAGTATCCTCTACTTTACACATAATGGCTCAGACCCGTCAGTCGAGTATCTACTACGACGGCCAGACCCCGCGCTACCCGCCTCCCATAACAAGTATGCAGTTGCACTGTGCGATCCCTACAACCCAGAGGTGGTGTATGGTGAGGTGTTGGTAGAACCAGAATGGACGCAGCCAACACTCTCGGCAGCCGAGATTCGCGCACAGGCACAATCGGGTGCACCACCCGCTCAGGCCATGGCGCTTGTTCCGGACAGCTTCACGATCCAGCTATATAATCCGGATCAGGCTGTTGCGGTCAAAATGGTGCCAGGGACGTGGAATAAGAGCGATAGCTGGGAATTTGACCTACCAACCCAAACATTTCGAAAACCGACCACCAGTGAGCTGGACCGCGAACATCAAAACACATCGCCAGCCGTGGCCGACCTGACCCCCCGCATCATGTTTCGTTGGAAGAAGGACGGCCGGCTGAGCAAGGATATGACATGCTCCATGTGCGGCACTAGGCTAGGGACGCGCAAAAACAAAGAGCCCGACATCACCATAGCGATGTTCAGGGCCGCCCGTGAAAGCATTATGACCGTCTACCAACCAAATCTGCACCGCGTTGACCTCGAGGACCGTAAGGGACTCGAGATAGTGCTGCTACTCGGGTCTGAGGTCATCAAAGATCTGTACTTGATGCCCAAGGTAGACATCTTCAACGTTCAGGGCGGAGCGCCGGTATCCAACGGAAAGAGGAAAAATTCTCGTCCCGCCGGGTCACCTACAGGAGCAGCACCCATGTCCGGAGCACTAGCAGCAAACATACCCCCGAGCGCAGCCGCCACAACCGCGACGCCCGCCACACGTCCCTCCGCCGTAGCCGCGGCAAACAGCACCGCGCCCTCGACTGGGCCTGCCTCGAACCCCGAGATCGAAGCCGAAACCCGCCGACTGCAAGCCATGGTCGAGCGCGAAGAGCGGGAACGCCGAAAAGCCGAGCTCGCCGAACAAAAACGGATCCAAAAGATGATCCAGGAGGAGGAAAAGGAGCGGCGGCGGCGCGAGGCAGAAATCGAGAAGGAAACAGAGCGCCTCCGCAAAAAGTTCGGGGTTGAGGGGCAGCAGCTCCCTTCGGACCGGCCTCCCTTACCTCCTCGGGCGCAAGGCAACGCCGGGCCCAGTCCCGTCTTCTCTCCTCCTCCTCATCCCCACCCCCCGCCGCACAAGGCTCATCACTCTCCCAACCCGCAGCAGCAGCAGGGGCTCAGTCCCTGGGGATACCCCACGTCGTTGGGCACGCCGGCGCCTGCGCTACCGCCCAGGCCGGTCAGCGCGGAGCCGTACTCGCGCCCATCTGCCTCGGCCTCCGCGGGGGGCGGGCAGGGCCAGCAGCTCTGTCAGCAGATGCCTCATCTCGGTCAGGCGCTGGGCGCCGTCTTGAAGGGCGCTGCGGGACAGCTGCAGCAGCTGCAGAGTCGGGTGCAACAGCAGCAACCACAACAACAGAGACCGGGGAGGACGAGGCAGGAGGAGGAGGAGAGGAGGCGGCGTGTGCAGAAGAAAAGGAGTTCCCACTGGTGAAGCTAGGCCAATGACGGTTGTAAAGTTGGATGCGTTGGCGTTTGGGAAGCTGGGATAGGGAGTTTGGCGCGCTTGCTGTTCACTGTTTGAATGTACCTATTGATCGTGATCTGGTATGTGCCGAAGGTAGCACGAACTGCATTTAGAGTTTGCCTTGTGCTATGGTAGACAGCCGTCTAGCTGGAATTGTAGTCCTGTTTGCATTGGTATAGAGATGGAATAGTTGATTACATTTCAGCAAGGTGCTCAGCAGTATTACCTGGCCTTGAAAAAGGGGTCGATGATGGCAAGGCGAAGATGGTGACACAGTATGACTACAGTACGGAGTAGTATGACGCTGGATTCAGCTGGGCTCTTACGAGATTGTTACTATGCTCCAAACGGCAGGCTCGTCATTCATAGGTTGAGGGTTATGAAGTGGAATGTAAATCCGGGGCAGCTTGTATATACCCTGCGTTATAAATCGGTGATTGACCGGATCTACTATGCATACCGAGTACGAGTCAGCATTATGTTGGGCGTATCGCGTAAAACCTACCCAGTCATGTACGCGGTGCAGGATGTTTGAATCACAGATTCGCTATCATAGCAGCCGGACAGAACATATATAGCGGGCTGGTGCAAGTTAAGGCAGCCCTTTTGTTTCTGATAGCTCGCGTTTCAACATAGGTCGAGCTAGCGTCCAAGAGGCCCTCCATAGCCATGTCCGAGAGACCTCGTTTGTGACGGGGCGTCGAATCCAAGAGGGAAGACGGCCATCCACCTGGATGCGGAAGAGATCCCGGATCAGACTTAGAAGGTGAAACGCGGGGAGGACCCGGGGGGGTTATGGAAGGCCCAGAAGCCGACGGTTTCAACTTGGCTGTGCTCCAGGCTTGGCTGGGCTGCATGGCGACACGCGGCACTGCAGCCGGAACTACGACGAACCATCTTCTCGAGGAACAAGAGAGAGGCAAGTAGTTAAGGGGAGGAGTATTCCGGAGTAAACGATTGGATCTCGGCGGTAATAAAGGGCGCTGGGGCTGGAATCGGAACTGGGCTCGAAGGGGAAGGCGGGAAACCAGCCCTATCGGTACTTACATGGCTTCGGAGGACGTTGATAGCTGAGTTTTGACGGACAAACAATGTTGAAGCCTGGGCAAACCGGCAGGCGGAATGATCAAGGCCATTTCCTTGAAAGATGTGTAGATAAAGTAGATAAAGTACCGAAATCAATACCTAGTCTGAAAGCCAAGAGCCCTAAGATCGGATTTTGGAGGTTGCCTCGCATTCTCAGGCTACCAAACAGGGCTGCAAGCGCTGTGTTGCAATCAAGGCTCCCAATAACTCAAACGAATCAAATCTGAGCCCCGATTTGAATTGATTTGCCTCCCGTAGACCATATTTGAGTTGAGTTGAGTTGTTTGCAAATATTTGGCTATCCGCCAAGACCATCCGGGCACGGTTACTCCGACCCGGACCCCCTGGCCGCTGCCTAGAGCCAGGACGTACTACCACCTATTCTTACTATCTAGTGTCTTCGAATATAGTGAGGCTATTTTCACTCTCTAACTATCAGTTAAAGTAGATGACCTTGGGAATAAGACGCTGAACTACGATACTAAAGGGAAAACTGCCTCTAACTACCCTTTTGGGTGAGTAGTGGGCCCTATTGAAATCAAATCAAATTGGAAGCTTCTAAATTTGGCAAATTTATGGTCCGAATTGATTTGTTTGGGTTAGGGCGGATTTGATTTGATTTGCTAGTATTTGAGTTATTGGGAGCCTTGATTGCAATATTGGGCGGGGCTTGATGAACCGTCGCTTGGCTTGGGCTCAAGGGCTTTCTCACTTTCAACCAGGCGCTGGCCATTAACGAGGTGCGAAAAACGTTTGTCGGGCGGCCCGATTTCAGCATTGCTGGAACGAAGCCCTTTGCCGGGGCCCGGAAAAGCCACGGGAGCCTGAAGGCGGGTTACACATGACAGCGAAGTAAAGACGATGGCTGCTTCAAGGAGTTGTCGGCATTGGTCCGATGGGATGGAAGTCCAAAAAGAAAAGAGCAAGCCAGGGCTTAGTAGTGTTGCTGTGGTTGGGCTCTTTTTAACTGGATGGTCAGCAGTGTTCGTGAGCAAATGTGACTTTTGTTACTGGTAATGCAATGAAAGGGGAAACCCCTGAATCAAGATGAAGGTTGATGAGACAAGAAGCTGCGAACTAACGTTGCCTTATAGAGTTAGGTCACGAGGTGGGGCAGGTCGGCCAGGGGCCAGCAACCGGAGAGGGCAGAATTAGTCAGTTAACGTAAGGTTAGGTAACTTAAGTTGGCTAGCGCTAGGCCATTTTGGCGGAGAGGGACAACCGTCGAAACGGCCGAGCAAAGCGGCTACGGCAGCACTGGTGAATCCGCAATCAAGAACCTCCGCCCGCATCGACGACTTTGCCCAATCCCGCCTGGTCCGCTTTGCTGCCGTCGGCCTGGCAAAATTCCCCAAACTGAGAGCCTTACTACAGCTGCCCAGGTGTCACAGTGCACCCACAATAGCACCTTCCTTTTTTTTGACTCTTGCGCAGCCGACGACGGGAGCTTCGACCGCGATATCGCCCTGCCTTGCTTGTTTGCTGCTGACTCCGCAGCACCAAATAGCTCGATCGGCCATCTCCAACCCGGTTCCAAGATCGCCCCTCAGCCGCATCTTATCGAGACTGCTATCCGGCCCTGTCCCCTATCCGGGAGTTGACGTTGAAATTGAGATACCTGTCCCCTTTCAACCGCTGCCGGCTGGACAAGACCACACCATCGCCGGGTTCTCATCCCCGCCACTAGCCGTCCCGAAGAAACAAGACGCATTTGATACCCTGGCCCTCGCCGCGATCCTGGCTGTGAGGGCCCAATAGGCTGCGTCTAGCCATGAATTTCGATTCGGGCACCGCATATGCGGAGTCAGACGCCGACGATGAGTACGAGAGAGATATCCCCGGGAGCTCTCCTACAGCCACCGACGTCGAGACCTCCCCCATCGACTCCGATCCCCCTTCAGCCGAACACACGCCGACGACGTACGGGTATCGCTCAAGTGCCGATCGGCTGCCCGAAACAATCATATCCGAGTGGACTGCCGAGGAATGCGCCGACTTCATCGCCACCATAGGTGTGCAGCAATACGCAGACCGGTTTATAGGTATGTGCACAAGCTTGGCCTTCTACGATCCGCGCCGCTGACAGCCTGGCCCAAGAAAACGACATTGTTGGCGAGGTCCTCGTGGCTCTGCAGCACGATGATCTCAAATCGATGGGCATCCACAGCGTGGGCCACCGTCTGACCATCCTAAAGTCTGTCTACGATGTCAAGAAGGCACAGGACGTTCCTATAGAGAGCGACCACTACATGCCGCCAAGTACGCCGTAGCCCTGAACTGCCTGGACCCTGATCTGTTCCTAGTCGCTGACATAGACACGCTAGCCGCTGAAACCGAGGCACAGGCGTCAACCGCCACCCTCAAGGATATTAAGCATCTTGTGGAGCAGTTACGGCTGCGCGACGAGCGGATGGCACTGATGGAACAAGACATGCGAAGGATAACTGAGGATTTCAGGAGGTTGCGAGAAGACATGCTCCCTGCGTTACGGCTGGTCAAGGACGTCCAGCAACCCCTGCCAAATGTTAACAACGGTCAGGCATACGAGTCCAACATATCACCGCCCGCGCCCACACCAGCAGCGGCAGGGCAGTCTGGGGGAGGCCTGAAGCGCCAGTACTCGACCAAGGTGATGCTTGGCACCACGCCCAAAGCCTCGTCACCGACTCACCTACAAACGAGCCACAACCGCTCCTTAGTCGAGCAGACGCTCGATCCTACGAGCGCCGCCGAACAGGCCGTTCTATCGTCGGCGCACTTGGCGGCAATGAACGGAACCTCTGGAAGCTCAACATCGCCATCGTATCCTTCTCCGAACATGCCATCCCCGACATCACCACCCACCGTCTTATCAGGCACCACCCTTGGAGCACAATCTTACCGGTCGGGCCAGCCCACGCCGTCCTCACGATCCACCTTTGCCAGCGAAGACCACTACCTCCAACCGAAAGCCCCCGCCCCGGCGCCGCGCAGAATGCAGACCCCGGCCCCCGAGACGCCCGGGTCGGTCGAGATCTTCAAGTCGTTCCGCGTCAGCATGGAGGACCCTTGCTACAAGGTGCTCCCCGCGGCGCTCAAAAAGTACCAGATCAACGCGCCCTGGGACCAGTACGCCCTATATATTGTATACGGCGACCAGGAGCGCTGTTTGGGCCTGGACGAGAAGCCGCTTATCTTGTTTAAGCAGCTCGATAAGGAAGGCAAGAAGCCCATGTTTATGCTCAGAAAGACAAACAACGCGCCTGTTGACCCCGGGTCCGCCGGCACCGACGCCGCTCCCGGGAGCGCGGGGCTGGGTGGTTCGTCGGCGAGTCGTACTGCTACCGGGTATGACCCGCCGGGGGGCATTATTTAGGGGGCTTATCCAGGAAATCTTCTTTTCTGCACTTTTCTTGTTGTTGGGTGCCTGGATGTGTGGGATGCGGTTTGCATAGCGTTGCGTCGGGATGGCCTTTACTCTTTATGGACGGACTTGTTGGACTTGCTGTGTGGTGTGAAGGGAGTCGCGGTGTTGAATCGTGACTTCCCTTTCTGGATGTGTGTGTATGTGTATCCATGTAGAAGAGAAGGAGAGGGTCTGTGTTCATGTTTCCTCCGTTGTGTGGAGGGATGGGGTACGCGGCCGGCAAAAGAAAGCCCGGGGGAGTCCCGTTGCGGAAAAGATGAAAAATTCACATCTTCTTCGCCTGCTCCTTTCTCTCCGTCCCCGCGAGCCTCCCTAGGAGGAACGCGGATCGCTGGACTTTGTGAGCTCCAAGATGTACTTTGGAGAATAGGGAGGAGAAAAACAAAACGGAGATGGTTTCTTAGTTTATGTCACTGGATTTAGCGGGAGCAACGAGGTATTGGGTTTGCTTTGGATGGTTTTGGTGTTTTTGTTTGCTTCCTGTTTACACTACACGTATGCGTGTATGTACATAGACCTTTTGTCTCCGACGCATGGCTTTCGGAGGGCCTTTTATGGTGTAGGTATTTCTTGGATATGTTTACATACCTCCTTTCGGTTTCCGTCAAACTTTGGATATCCCCCGTTTCAACCCAACCGGATGCATGCGTCTTGCCAAGGATGCTTGTAGATTTGTAGCCTTGTCTAAACGACTGGAAGAATCATGGGCGATGAGGACGCGGGCTATCAGCATTCGATGAAACAAATGAAACAATCGGGAGGTACATTGAAATACTCGGAGTCCTTCTTTCAGGTTCCCCAAGCAGCACGCCGATGCTGACAACCCTTACAAGTATGAAATACTGCGCATCTGGGACATCCGCTCGCGGCAGTTTGAACTTGTGAGGCAGGCGATGATTACCGGGCTAGCGATATATCGAGCCATCAAGCAGATATTCGAGGGATGAAGAATTTGGAGGAACGGTATAAGCTCAAATGTAGGGCTATGGAAGCTGATATACATACAGATGCGCCTGCTGTCACACACTCCTATTTAGAGAGTGGAACGCAACTGACAGAGACGTCGTGACCGTACATCGCCTGGAGGGCATCAATGCCTCTCTCCCTCCACGGCTCCAATACCAAACACTCAGAGACGACGCCGCTCTGACCAGAGTTCCCTACAAACCTCCCTCCGAGGTTACAATGCCAAACACATGAAGACGCCTCTCTGGCCATATCCCTTCGTGCTCAGACCAGAGTTCTTCACAATCCCCCCTCCGAGGTTACAATACCAAACACATAAAGACGCTGCTCCGATCATATTCCCTACACGTCTCTTCACGCCGGCAACTTATCCCTAGCCGGCTGTGTGGTCGAAGAATGGGCCTGAGAGCTCGTTGCTGAACCCTCCACAGCCACTTCTCCAACCGGTAATACCAGCACCCCATTTACCGGTTGTAACGCCCGGCGGTCGACTTAATCCTGGCTTTCTCAATGGACGCCTTGAACTCTTGATACAAGGCCCTGACCACGCCGGCGTCGACCCACTGCTTCAGAATCTCATCGACTAGCTTGTACTTTTGCTTGGGCCTCATGCGTTCCCGCTCGACCAGCTTTTCCGGGGTCATGTACCCGTCGTCATGGAGGCGGGAATCCACCCAGTCGAGGAGGGCATGCTTCCAGTGGATAAGGGTATGTGCGGTTTCGGCATTGGCGCAGCAGACGACGCCGACGAACCACTGTCTGTTCTGCCTTGGGATCTCGTTACCGTCCTCATCCTCGTCGTAATCGAGGCTCGAATCGGAGTCGCTGTTAGCTTCGACCGGATCGAGAAAGGTGTCCTTGCTAGGGTCCTTAAAGTAGGGCGTGCCCGAAAATTGGATAACCCATCTGCAGTCTGGTGTCAGCCGCTGAGGCATACCAAACTCGTAGCTGTAATGCATTTGTGACTTACTTGGCAGGGTGGTTGCTTCTTCCGCAGGCACCGCAGGTTCGAAGATCGCCGACGTCGTTCTTCCCCAGCTCTTGACTGGTGAAGTAAGGACGGGCGCGCAGAGCCTTGGTGAAGTCTAATTTCCAGGCGGCAGATTCGAACTTGGACTGCGCGAGACCGCGCACCTCATCGTCCAGTTTGCGCCACCCCATCCGGTATAGCTCATGGCCCTTCTCCGAAAATCCAGGGTTAATCTTCAACTGAACCAGCCACTCAACAACATCGCGAAAATGTTCCCTGAGCGGTTTGTGCGAATGCGCTGTGAAGTGAAGGGGCATGTCCAAGTAAACGTCGTCGGGTACGCCAAGCGGCTCGTCGCTGTCGTTGACGACGAAGTCGTCAGTGCTAATGCTCGACTCGTCGTCAACAGGCTGCTCGCTCTTCTTCCCCTTTCGTTTTGTGACCTCCACACCCTCTTCGTCGTCCTCGAAGTCGCTCAACGCCGGGTGATCGGAGTCCGTATCGTAAATTGGCTTCCCTTCAGACGACGAAGTCTCCTCAAGCTCGTCAATAGATTCCCCAGCGCGCTTGCGGCGGAGCAGCTCTCGAGCTCGCTCTTTGGCCGAACGCAGCTTCCGTCCGGTCTTCCGTCGGACTCTCGACGATGATGGCGTCTGAGCAGGCTTATCATCACTTTCGGACCCGTCGAAAAGCGAATCCCTGTCTTTCGCAGGGCTCGATGCATCGTTCTTGCGAACGAGCCTGCGCCGCTTAATAGGCGATGATCGCAGAGGCACATCGTCCTCGTCTTCGTCGTCTAAAGCGATAACTCTCTTGCGGCTAGACTGCTTCGCAGATTTGGGAGTGACAAGAGGGTCGTCATCGTCATCGTCATCGTCATCCACGTCGCCGCCACCCCGGCTGATTCTGGGAGCAGAGCGCTTGTTCAACGAGGGACGTGAAGCAAGGCGACTTGTGCCGGACTTTTCACCCCGCACAGGAAGCTTCACCGCGTCCTCGTCCCGATCAGAATCTGACGACGACGAAGAATCCTCACGCACAAGCCTTCTCTTTTTTGCGCTTCCGTTGATCTGAGAAGACGCCAGGAAAGAAGAGGGAGGGGCGATGGGCGAGCTTTTGGCGCCCCGCAGATTCCTAATCGGTGGACTAGAAGATGCGTCGTCGCCTGGTACCTTGCGCTTTCCGTTTCCCTTTGCCATGGGCGTCTTGGTAGCGGGTCTTACCCGCGGCCGGCCTGTATGCACATTAGTAAGGTACTTCGGAAGCATTTAAGATCGAAAAAGGGTAACAACTGACCAAGAGTAGCCTCCAGCGTCTGTTGTTTCGCCTTGCTAGGTTTCACCATCTTGCCATACAGGTCGTATGACTCAAAAGAAGGAATGATGAAGACGACTGTATGCACTCCAGCTAGAAAGATGCCGATTTAGTATCCCATTCATTATCAGCATCAACCATCAGACACAGCCATCCTCCCCAAGTAGCAAGCACATAGCTCTCACAGCCCTGTCCGGGGAACTCCCCGGCGTCTGGCGGCGCCGAGCCCAGCTACCCCGGACCCCGGATTGCTCGCACAGATGCATGCGCATGCGCATCGCATCATATTGCGTCGCGTCGGGATCGAGCCCCCACGAGAGCGGGGCATCAAGTGCAAATCAAGAGATGACAGAACGATGACAGAACATAAATCTACTTACGCAGCGACAAAGGAAGATGAGGAAATGTGAGAAGGGAATAAGAACTTTGACAACAAGGTATGCGGCCAGCCCAAGGTCGAACGAAATCGGGCGGGAAAAGGTGTCGACGCGATGCGATCAGGTAAAATCCGAAAGGGTGACAAGGGTCAGTTCTGAATATACTTTCACTGATTCCTTTGTTTTCTTGGGGAAAGGCGCCTTGTTTTTGCCGGTTTGTGAGAAAAGGTGACTTTCCGAGGATGACTGTACAGATTGCAGAATCCTCTTGTTTATTTCGCGGGGTTCAGAAATTCGTCGCAGTTTATGTGGGAAACAAAGCAAGCGCGTGAATGGCATCACGAACATCACAACGCGATACCACGTGATGCGGGCACGGGCTAATTAATATGGGCGGTGAAGGAGTTCAACGTGCTTCCGTCCCATCTATCCGTACGTAAGGTAGGTATACACACAAATGCCACTTGGATACTGGTTTGTGAAGTCCTACTGGACCGACGGGGTGGTACAGCTTCTATTCCTAGCCAAAGCCATCCCAACGATGGATTCGAAACCCTTCATCCAACAAAACAAGAAGCCGATGCCCCCAACTGCGCCGTCACCCTCAACCTACCCCTTATAATACCTTATATTACCGGTAAGACTGGGCACAACCACCATGGACTCCCGTAGCAACCAGGGAAACAGGCCTCGACCTTCAGTCATTTCGCCGCGTCATTACATCCGCCGTATCTCCGTCAGAATAAGAGTCCGAATCTTACACATTACCGCAGGCCTTTGACATATCCCCTTCCTCTAGGTCCAGTCAGGAAAGACTGTGTGCACCCATCCCGTTTCAATATGTGCATCCGCCAAACTCCCATATTTACCAAGAGCAACGTGATGACCATGTTTTACCTCAGCGGCTGCTTGCAGTCCTCCACGCCGCGGGCAATGACATCTTCCAGCTTCCATCTCGGGGGCTTGATTACGCCCTCCAGGCCGTTCGCCTTGCGCCATTCCTTCTCCATCTCGGGGGTAACGCCCTCAGGCAGCGGCTCCTGTCCGCCTGCAACGCCGGTAGAAAACTTGAGCTGCAGAATGTCGCCCACCTCGTCGCAGGCGGCCAACAGGCGGTCCATGTCCTCCTTGTTGTGGGCGGCAGAAATACAGAAGCGTGCGCGCGAGCTGATGAGGGGTGTGGCGGGGTAGCCGACAAGCACCACCGAGATCTTGCGCTTGAGCATCTCGTGGCTGAAAGCCGACATCTTACCCGGGTTGTAGAGCATGATGGGAATGATGGGGGAGTCGTCGTGACCGTAGACAATGAATCCGAGGCGCTTGAGGCCCAGGCGAAGATACCGCGAGTTGAAGGCGATGCGCTGCAGGCGCTCTTCGCCTTGTCCAGGTGCGATTTGTCCCGTGATGACTCGGAGAGACGAAAGGATCTGCATCAGGACCGACGGAGCAGGTGATTCACCCAGAAGGGCAGCCGGGTTGGTCATTCTGAGCTTGTCAATGATGTGCTTTTCGGCGGCAACATAACCGCCGTTGGCGCCAAAAGACTTGGTCAGCGTCCCCATGAGAATGTCAATCTCGCCCGGGTCCACGCCGAAATAGTCGCAGACACCGCGGCCGTTGGGGCCTACCGCTCCGATACTGTGAGCTTCATCCATGTAGAGGAAGAACTTGTACTTTCTCTTCAGCTCCAGAACGCCGGGAAGGTCAACCATGGTGCCCTCCATCGAGTAGAGACCCTCGACGACAACCAAAATCTTTTTCCAAGGCCGGTGAGTGCGGGGTTGACCCTGAGCGATGGCCTCGCGCAGCTTCTTCTCCAAATCGTCCATGTTGTTGTGCTTGAACGACCGGATGACAGCGCCGGAAAGACGGGCACCAACGCGAATCGAGGCGTGGTTCAGTTCGTCCGAGATAATGAGGCAGCCCTTGGATACGAGAGCCGGGAAAGTACCGGCGTTTGTCACGAAGCCCATCGAGAATACCATTGCGGCGGGTTTGCCCACAAACTGGGCTACCTCGCGCTCAACCTCGAGGACGAGATCCGAGGTGCCGGCATCAGCCCTGGGGCTGCAAAAACTCATGCCATACTTGCGTACGCACTCCTCGGCAGCATCGGCACAGGGACCCTCTGACTGAGCAAACCCAAGATAGTTGTACGAGCTCACATTTAGCGTCTCCGTGTAGGTGCCAGTGAGTTTGTACGAGCGGTTGAAATCGTCCGACTTGCGGTCCATGAGGGTAATGTAGCGCCCGGGAACACCAGTCGTGGGTCGGGCGAAGCAGTCGTCAAGGCGCCTCTTCAATCGTCTTACATAGAAGTTGTCAAAGTCGTCATTAAGCGGGGCGTATCCGTTGAATGCCTTGAGGGGCCGATAGTGTTTCTTGTCGCCGAAGCGCTTGCCGAAGAAGTCCCTCACGTGGCCACAGAAGATTAAGAGCAGGTAGCTAATATAGGTGGTGAGAAGATAGTAGTATGGGGGCTCGTCTTCAATGGGCGGGTCCAGCCGCTTGCCATGGTGCGCACTGACGTATCGATGACTTGGGCTGAGTAGTGGTCCGAACTCGGCCTCGGCACGCTGCCGCGTCCTGGTCTCGTCGGCCGAAGGGGGCTGAAATAGGGTGGTTGGAGGCTCGTCGCTGCTGAGCTCTCCGGCAGCCGAAGCAGTCGACAAGGAGATGGTCGGCAAAGACATGGCGGTGGATGTCATTTGCTGCGACACGCCCTGCTGGTGGGTCTGCGTCGCCGGGGACTGCTCCTTCGATTTTGTTGAGAAGAAGCCGGCCAGGCGGTTGCCCTTGGACTGGGAAGGCCGGCGCTCGCCTGCCTTCTCAGAAGGTGGCATGCTGGGCGAGGCGAAGGGGTTTGAAAGTTTTCGGGGCATAGCTTCCTTTAAGAGCGCATGAGCTGCGGTGCAGAGCGCTTGTCGGGAGTGACGGCTCCAATTGCGACAGTTGTGCTAAATTGAATGCGCCAATTGAGCCTACAGACAGCATACGTGGTGTCAGCGAGATGTCAAAGGTAGAAAAGGCGGAACAAATTGGGGTCTGGGAACAGGAGGGGCGGTGTGTATGTTCGGGACGCTGCAAGCTGACGGCGTCAGTCGCAGCGGGAGGTTTCCGTGAAAGCGACAAGCCGCCCCCCCTTTTTAGCTCCGCTGTCATGCCACCGCTCCCGCCGTTTAAGCTAGGGAACCGGCACTGCCGTTGCTAAGAATCCAGATAACGGGAAAACGTACGCTATCCGGCCAAGACAAATGCCGTAGAGGATCGAACGTTGAGGAGCAAAAAATCCACGGAACTGGCCTACAGGGAGTTCGTCAATGGCGTGCAAGGCGCGACCGGAGCGTTCGGGACAAAAGAAATCGCGGTCGATAGCTGCAATCAACCGATTGAGCGGCAGTTTTTGTCGGACACAGCTATCAATGGATATCCCGCTGACTTCGTCGTCCAGGTCGCGCGACTCAGCTTCGCACGGTTTCGAGAGAAGACACTGGAGGCGAAACCGAGAACAAGAGACGAATGAAGAGTTCAAGGGGAGTGCATTGATACAGGAAGAAGAGGATTTCGGACAGAGTGAAGATGAACCGAGCAGGGGTGAGGAAAATTGTCGAATGGGGATTGGAAGGTGGGTCGGTGCCTTGCGTGCACCTAATTTGTTGCCAGCCCTGCGCCTTTCCGCTTGGTTGGACCCCTGGAAACCATCGTGCCGAGCTGTCCGACGCTGCAGTGCTGCAGTACCACGATAGCGAAAGGAGGCATCCGATGGATAACAATCATAACATCCCTCAGTCAGCAGCAAGTGCTGAAACTACTCAAAACTTCGTCTCTAGCAAGCCAGACTATGGATACAACCTACCTCGTCGTTGTCTTGTCTGATTCTTCCCTCCCTCCCCCGCTCTTTCTCTCTGCCCTCTTGTGGGCACCCACCAGATCAAATGGTGTAACACGAAGCTTACAAGTGGCAATGACACCAATTTCGACGTGCATGCGTGTATCCAGGTGGACGTTAGCAAGTGCCCACCTAGCTGCATTAAAGGGTCTAGATGCCTAGTATGCTGTAACATACAGCTAGGTAGCGGAAGTGCCGATTCTGTTCCTAGAAGGCTAGCCCGATAACGTTATATAAGCAACTGCCGTGCCTCTTTCCTGTCGGACTCTTGACTGACTGCGGTTTCCCAGGGCGGGGACTGTAACGGACAGCGATCGTCTAATAAAACTCGGATCTCCAAGCCTCCCCTACCTTTGCTTCCGCGTATTTACGTGGGAGTAATTGATCCTCCAAATCGAGTCAAGACAGTGTGGACCATGGACCGTCCCGTCTCCAAATTGGAAGGGCTTTAATGGCATCTTCTGGTTTTGTTGTGTCTATTCTTCTTCTTGGCGGCCAATAGGCGTGCAAGTGCGACACCAACAAGGCAGTGGATGGGTAGGGGAATGGTGAAGATGCGCCGGCGGAACCCGCTCGGGCCTTGCCGGTACTTGTACCTGCATGAAGAGGGAGGACTTGCATCAGAGGGGCGGGGATGCCATCGCTTCCATCAACGATGGAAAGCGTCGGCTTCGGCCGGACTTTGGAGAGACCCAAAGCGGCGGGTCAACCCCATCGGAGCTCGGGACTGGAATCTGGGAATTTGGCCTGTGACTGGCAGGAAACAACAAAACTCGGGCAATCTGCACCTGCCGTTCGTTGCAGAAGGCATGAGGTCCTGATCCTGCTTGTGGGTTTGGTTTTGAGACGTTTTGTGTTCGGATCGCCAATGTAGTTGCAACTGTCGGTCGCTCCTGGAGATCCTTCTTTCCGTAGCCATATCTGCCTTGCGCTTACTCAGTTGTAACAATCACCGTCCATTCACCATTCTATCTCACCCCGCCGTCCAAGATGGCAGTCCCCGAGATCTGGAGGCATGAGAATCCCGAGGCGACACAGATGTGGAGGTTTCTGCAGCATGTCAACTCCAAGTATGGCCTGAATATCCAAGACTACCCGGGACTGTACAAGTGGTCCGTCGACAACATTGCCGACTTCTGGGCCGAGGTTTGGCATTTCACGGGCATCAAGGCCTCAAAGCCGTTTGACCAGGTGAGTGGATGGTTTCGTGCTCGGTTTGACTTAAAGACACCCTCAGGTGGTCCCTGAGGAGCCACCTCCTGTTCTCTCCTGTGATGATCCCCACAAGGCCCAACTAAATATTCCCCTAGATCCTGCCGCTCTCGGCACCTATGTTCCCAAGGCCCGACTTCTTTGCCGGTGCTCGTCTCAACTTCGCCGAGAATCTCCTCTTCCCCGGCAACGCCACCATCGATGATTCGGCCACAGCTGTCATCACGGCAACCGAAGACGAGAGCCAGCTCACCGAGACCTCGTGGGCCGAACTCAGGGAGCAGGTCCGCCGCTGCTCTAATGCCCTGCGCGCCGCCGGGGTCAAGGAGAACAGCGTCGTGGCCGGTTTTGTCGCCAACCATGTGCAAGCCCTGGTGGCTCTCCTGAGCGCCGCAACCGTCGGTGCCATCTGGACGGGTATCAGTCCAGACAGCGGCGTGAGCGCAGTGCTAGACCGCTTGGTCCAGATCAGGCCACAAATCCTCTTTGCCGACAATGCAACGCTGTATAATGGCAAGGAATGGTCGGGGAAGGCGAAGACGCTAGAGGTTGTTGAGAAGCTGAAGATGTGTGGTCTTCAGCAGGTTGTGATTATCAAGGGCCTTGAGAATATTGAAACAGGGTTGGACGAGATCCGGGCCACTGGCGTCCAGACCGAGGAGTACGACGCGTTTTTGAACGGGTATGCTTGTTATTCATATCCTTCCACTCCTTATCTTCTACTGACCCCAATCAAAGATCGCCGAGTTCGCCCTTGTCTTTCGCCCAGCTGCCCCCTTCCCATCCTTTGTACGTCCTCTACTCAAGCGGCACCACTGGGCTCCCAAAGGCGATCGTTCATACCGCCGGCGGCACCCTTCTTCAGCACAAGAAGGAGCACTTCCTCCACTGCTCCCTGAACCCGTCCTCCCGCATGCTTTACTATACCACCACATCATGGATGATGCACCACTGGAGCGTGTCCGCCCTGGCCTGCGGTTCCTCACTCGTTCTTTACTCTGGTTCCCCCTTCAAGCCGCACGGCTACCTGTCCCTACCGCGTCTCCTCTCTTCCCTGCGCGTAACTCACTTCGGCACCTCGGCTGCATACCTCACCACGCTCGAAGCGACCGACACCCGACCCATCGCGGACCCCACCTTAGACCTCTCACCCCTCGAAGCAATCTACTCAACCGCCTCTCCTTTACCTCCCTCGACCTTTTCCTTTGTCTACGAGGCCTTCCCGAAACGGGTTAACCTCGCCTCCATCACAGGCGGCACCGACATCATCTCGTTGTTTGGCGCGCCTTGCCCTCTCCTCCCCGTGCGCGTGGGCGAGGTTCAGTGTGCGGGGCTGGGCATGGCCATTGAAGTGGTGGACTCGGCGTCGGCCCCAGAGGACCCGCGGCCCGTGTCCCCACCCGATGCCCCGGGGGAGCTGGTCTGCACCAGGCCTTTTCCCTGCCAGCCGCTCACCTTCTTCGGCGCCGACGGCCAGGAACGGTACCGCGCCGCCTACTTTGAGCGGTTTCCCGGCCTGTGGCACCATGGCGATTTTGTGCGCATGGTCGGCCCGGCGGGTGGCGGTGGTGGTCTGGTCATGCTCGGCCGCAGCGACGGCGTGCTGAAGCCGGCAGGCGTGCGGTTCGGGAGTGCCGAGATCTATAACATCCTGACGAGGTTCTTCGCCGCCGAGGTGGATGACGCCGTCTGCGTCGGCCGCAGGAGAGAAGGGGACGCCGACGAGACGGTCTGTTTGTTTGTGGTCATGGTTCAGGGTAAGGTATTTGATGACGGGGTGAGGAGGAGGATTGCCGACGTGATTCGCCGCGAGCTGAGTCCCAGGCATGTGCCGAGGGTGATTGAGGAGGGGAAAGGGGGCGTTCCTAAGACAAGTAACGGGAAGAAGTATGTTCCTCTTTCCCTTATCGAGGTTTCTTCGCCGGAACGAAAGGAAACGCTAACACGTCTCTACAGGATAGAAGTAGCCGTTAAGCAGATCCTCTCGGGGATGCAGGTCAAGACCAACGCGAGCGTCGCGAACCCTGAGGCACTGGACTGGTTCAGGGAGTGGGCGATAAGGGCCGATGACAGGCTGCCCAATTAGGTCTATGCCTGTGATAGGTATCTGCTTATAAGACGTGTAATAGAAATGAAATAATACCCAAATCCCGTCCACGATGCAGAAGCATCGTGTATGAGAACTGTTCACTAAGAGGGACAAACCTACGATCCGAATCTAAACCGATGACTTGGGAAACGATTGAGCAAGAGCATCCATAAGCCTGATAGAAAGAGAATGTCAAGTCAAGCATGCTATTCTGCTGCATGTTTTCTCTAGCAGCCGCTGTCTACCTTCAAACAACCAGTAATAGACAGTAAGTGAAGTAGCGGAATGTCGTCGTATCACAGCCCATAGCCCCTTTCGCCTTTTCATCATTCTCTTCCTTTTGTCGACTTCCGTCCTCTCTCTCCTGCGCAGCAGCTGTACTAGTATCTCTGTAGAACCGGCCACTGAGTGTTCCATGGCAAGAAGTAGCTCAGGGGATGGTGTATGCATTGTACAATACATACAGGGACAGACATAGCCTGTTTGAGGTAGCAAGCCCTTCCAATGAATCATGAAATGTATATACGTCGGCGTTGTGGGTAAGGTGAGTAGGACCTTGTACAACCTGGTAGGTAGGGACTAGCAGGAAGTGAAAGCTAGAGAGCAGAAGAAATGGCAGAAAACAAATAGACATGCCTAGCTTTTGATGTTCCTCTTCTCGAATTTCCCGCCTCCTTCCTTACAGCTTCATCAGGGGTATGTATGTCATATACGTAAGTAAGTACAACGAACGCCGGAACAGAACAAGTGATAACAGCCCTCCCAAACATAGCGCTGCACAAAACGAAACCCCATCCTTGACGTTTTCTCGCACTTTCCCACCCATTTTGGACGTGCAAAACAGAATAGAAATAGAAATAAAAGAAATCATCCCTTCCTCAGCAACATTTTCTCGTCTTCTCCTTCTTTAAATTCACCTTGGCCACAGTCACACTCCCCAGACGATCCACCCCTTCCTTGTGCCCTGCTCAAAACCCTTGATCAACCCCAAATCCGTGCGAGTCCATCGGGTCCATGGCCATGTACTCAAGTAAATCAACTCCGCCCACGTTCACGCCCTCGGCCGTCATGGACACGCTCGTGTTGTCCAGGTTCGAGTAGAAGGCCGGCCCCGGAGGGAGGTACCACATCTCGTTGGCCGGGTTGGCCCAGTCCGAGTTGTCAAACATGACACCGCCACCATTGCCACTGCCACCGCCGCCGCCGCCGTCAGCTAAGACTCCGTTACCGTTGCCCGTGTTACCGCCCTCGAACCCTGTGGTCGCGGCCGGGGTGGACGGGCCAAACATGGAGGCGGAGCCAGATGGGTAGGGAAAGGTGCCCGTTGTGAGGTCCCAGGGGGTGGCCGAGATGTTCACCGGGGTGATGGAGCGCTCTGCAGCGGTGCGGTTAGCGAGAGAAAACGGGGAGAGGGCGGAAGCAGGTAAGAAACATGAAGAAGAACTTACCAGGAGCCAGCCCGTCCTTCATCCGGGACCACATATCATTGGGATGTGTCTGGTTCGGCGGCTGCCCATGGCCGTTAGCGCCGCTGCCGCCGGGACCGTCGGCGTGCGTTGCGCCCGGCGATTTTCCTTCGCCGGTGGACACGGGCGGGGGCGGTGCATGGATGAACCGGTTCCTAAGCCGGCTGGTGAGTGTCTCGAGCATGTCGGCAAAGCGGATGCCCAGGTGGACGTCGTCCACCACACAGTTCCTCAGCGCGTCTACCGTCCGGTCCATCAAGCCGATGCTCAGCTCAACGTCGGATTTGGGCGCGCCGAGCGCAAACGTCTTGAGCAGGAACATGGCGCCGCTGATGATGCGGAAGTAGGTCCGCACGGGCGCGTGTTTGAGGTAATCACGGGGTAGCAGGCCCTCGACAACAGTCCGCAGCAAATTCCGGCTGCCGTTGACAACTTCCCTTACATACTCCTGATCCTCGGCACCGAACCCACCGAGCTGCCCGAGCGGCAGCTTTCCATAGTAGTTTTGCGTTTGCGGCGATAGTTGCGGCCCAGAATGGCCCGATACACTCCCGCCGGAGCCTCCACCCGCGTTACTGGTACATCTTTCGACTACGGCTTGCAGAGACAGAGAGTTGATGTATATCCGGACGTACTCATACTCGATGGTAAGAATGTGGCGAATGTAGGGAGGCATCCGAAAGCGCTCGAATTGGTTCCACCAGTCCTTCAGCATGGGCTGGAAGTCTTTGAGAAGTTCGATGTATTTCCCGCTCTGGATGATCTCGGTCGTATGCTTTCGAGATCTGAAGAGTCGTTCGTTGCCTACCTGCATGGCATTACTGATCCCCGCCCAGCAGTGGATAATCTGGTCGTCCAGCTCCAGATCGGGTATATAATTGAACGTATTCGAGAGAGAAGACAGGGTTGTCCCTGGCGTGGTACCATCGACCGAGTGTCGTCGCCTCCTTGAAATCGCAGGATCCGACTTGCGGAGCTGCTCGGGCACCATATTGGTCCACCCGAGGCGTCCGGCGAGCTGGCTGAGGTAAATCAGCAGCAACCTCTTGATGCGGCTGGCCCTCAGTCGGTATGATTCGTCCTCATACTCGGGCCGCGCGAGGGCGCCAGCCGCTAGTAGCTCATCGATGTCATCGAAGACACCGAGCTCGTACGCAAGGCCCATACCCGTGCTCAGCAGCATCCAGCACATCCGATCGCTCCGCCAGGCCGGCTCCAGCCAGCTCTCAATCCTCCTGCCGCCAATTCCGGCTGCCGGCTTCGGGTTGCCATCGTTGCCCTCTGATTGGGACTCGTACGATGGGAGGAGCAACTCATCGGTGGCTTCGTTAGGGGGGAAGTGCAGCGCCCGCGGATGCCATTCGGTCAGTATCATCAAAGACTCGATGGTTCCCAGAGTCCTTAGGCTGCCCCTGCGCAGACCCCGCCACGGAGCCGTGCTCGAGTTGATATCATCTGCCCCAGAGCCACAGAAGCCGCCCCCAAACGCCTCTTGCCCCCACACCACCCGCTCGATCATGCCCCTGAGATAGGTCCACAACTGTTCGTGTATCGCGTGTGAGCGACAATGGCCTCCGGTGCCCGGCAAGCGGCGGTATCTGGATGCAATTGTAAGAAGCGTCACCGTGAGGATAGGCTCCTCTGTCAGTAGCGTCAGGTGGGATGCCGGATTGTGGAATGTCGGCGGTGAGATAGGGGTCAAAGGAGATAGGTATTTGTAGTAACTGTAATGCATTAGTACTAGCAGGATGAGCAGGGGCACGCATAGATTGTCGTACTAGTCTATGTATTCGATTGCCTCAGCTGCTGTGAACCAGCCCGCGCGAACAAAGCGAAACCTCCCCCAAGCCTTGAGGGCATCGTTGTATCCAGGTTCAGCGGATGGTTCCCGCTTGGTCAGCACTGGATCAATCGTCTGCTCTGCTGAAGGCCTATCCTGCCGTGGGGTGTGGCGGCCGTGGTACCTCCCGGGTGCTGGGGTGCTGGATGACACATGCGATTCGGTGTATTGGCGGGTATGGTAAGAGCTTCGCTCCGTGGTGGTTTGGGGAGGGGCCAGCTTTTTGTCCGGTTGATGTGATGAAGTGCTAACAAATCCCACCATATCAGCTGCCTACAACTCTCCCAACAAAGGAGGCGAAAACATGGAGGATGAACTAACTCTTCAGTAGCTGCCTTATACAGCAGATCCAGGGCGTCTTGAGGACCGTAGACTTCCTTCCGCATAACGGCGCGGGCCTCAAAGTTCTCGAGTGGCGTATTGGGCTCCCCATTCCCGAATTCACCGGTGCTATTGCTGCGAGCGCTCTTAGACCCATCGCCGGGTCTCCTTAGGGGTTGCGACCGGCCCTGACTTCCGCCGGGGGTGAGGGGCACGTCGCTGTATAACCGGCGGTCAAAGGTACTACCGGTGGGCGAGCTGGTGCGGCGCAGTTGTTTGCGGCCGTTGCGAAGGATGTAGTCGTCATGGTCAAGGTCTTCGTCGACCGAGCCATCGTCAACCTTGCGCTTGCGGCGCGTGGCGCTGAAATAGCACTCTTTGCTCTCGCGACGGCAGCGTACGCAGGGCGGGTCGTGAGGGTCGTCGACAGAGCCCAGGTCGCAGCGCACTTTGCGGCGGCGGCAGGGGATGCAGGCCTGATAGACACGCTTGTGCTGGGGCGGATGCGGATGGTGTGCGGACTGCGACGTAGGTGTTGCGGCCGATGCTCCGGCTCCGGCTCCGGCTCCACCTGCCCTGGCAGACGGCGGAGGAGGGGGAGGAGCGGGCACTCCGCCGGAGGATGTGGACGAAGCGGCGACGGGCGAAATGGGTGACACGGAGATCTGCAGAGGCGGGCCGGTAAACTGCGCCATGCCGGGCGGTCGTACTGCCGAAAGGTCACAGAATGTCGCTTTCCTGCCTTCTTTTTCCCTCTGTGACTTAATGGGTCCGGGACCCAGAACTCCGAGTGGTGCGCCGTTGCGATCGGCTTGAAGCGGTTTATGATGTGGCGAAGCGGGCAGAGAACCTGGAAAATACCGGGGACGGACGAGCTTTTGGGGCTAGTTCAGTTGAGGGGCCTCCGCCTGCTGGGATGGAGTCCTAGGATCCACTGCAGTTGCTTTAGGGCCTTCGGTACCGCTGCGGGGTGCGATCAAGCTCGCGAGGGGCACACGGCAGGCCTATCAGGCGTGCAGAATCAGATTTCGCCCAGACGAGGCCGCAATCCCAGCTCCCAATGTTGAACGATAGGTCCGGGCCAGCAATTGCGGCCGGATTTCCTAGTTAAAGAAAACTCTCAATTGCCTTCCAGCTTCTGCGGAATTCCTATGTAGCGTGGTTCCACACCCCGCCAAAACGGAAGGCGTAAGGTAAAGTTAGTGTAAGTTGCGCTGCTCTCTCATTGGTCTGGGGTTTGGAACGCCCAAATCAGTGTCTCTCTGTCCGTGGATGCCTGGTAAACCATCAATGATGAGGAATGTGCCCGAGCTAAAAGGAAGAATGGAATTGTGGCAGGCAACAGTGCCTCGGAAACTTTGTCTTTGTCCCCTCGCCGGTGTCGGTCCGTTGTCCTCTCGGGTTATCAAGCTGCACGAAAGCAGCCATCAGCCAGCCCTGCAGGTCCTTGGCGAATGAGACGGGATGATGGCGCTGTTTGCAGGGATTCGCTTCTCATGCCCGCTGACGGAGTGTGTGTATGGTTGATAAGGCACTCCGTCCACTCACCTAGCAAGTTGTATGTACTTGTACATATAATACCTACATAGACATGTTTAATTGTCCAACCAAAACACAAAAGGGAGGGCAATTAGTCAGTATTGGTTTGATTGAATCAAATCGAACCAACATTCTACCATTGACACTGCAATGATTATGTAGCCAACCCTGGTCCATCCGGACTTAGAGTCGATCTGCGCCATTCTCTGCAGGTCACGTTAATGGTAGTCACGCGGGTGCTCGGCCCATTCCTTCACCTTGCTCGGTGACGACAAAACCGGAGGCAGGGCAGGCCCGACCAGAACGAAGATGCGGCGTGGTTCTGGTTGGGAAAATATGGCAGTACGGTATGCCTGGATAAAATAATCTAGGTCTTGTGGACTCGAGTTTGAGGCAATGAGGGTGTGAACCGGGCTTCCTCAGTCCAGGATTATGTACCGGTATGTCAGGGGCATCCATCTCCGAGCCCTCAACGTCCCGATCGACAGTCATCCCGCTGCATGCAACCGAACAGCCCTACGTTAACCTGCCTCGCACAACGCAGGAACGACCCAGCAGTTTGGAGAACCCCATGCGCCTTCTGTGATGGCTGCAAAATGTTTTGCACATGTCGTCAGCAGCCCACCAATGTCACCTGCCGTAGGAAATCCGTGAAGGGTATGTAGACTCGGGCAAGTCCTCGCTGATTTCGCTATCACACGTGGCCCAGGGAGTATGGTAAGCATCAGCCACATCTGGCAACGGCCGACTAAGCTTCCAACAATCAACCCAGCCTTCTAGCACCTTGCCCCTTCCCATAGTCACTCGCCATCAGAGCGGGACGAGCCAGTAACGTTCGTATTATGTCCACGCAGGAATGGCGCCGAGATGCCCATTCCGAGAAAAGACACCCAGTACCACAACGCAATGCAGCGGAGAGGGAAACCAGGGCAGAACTGACCTCCGTGTTATGCTGACCGAACTTGAAGTGCAAGATTACCCCCATCTCCCGTGTCTAGCAGCAGAGGCATCCCGAATCTGTCCAGCCAGGTGTCTTCCTAAAAAGAGAAAAGGAAAAGCCAAAGGTCCATGTTGAACCCTTCGCCACATGTGCAATGTGTGAGGCCAAATCATCAAAGACCGCCAACCGACACCTCGACCTGACGCGGCCATCCAACCCTTCCGTTTTGGCCCCTCCAGACGCCAGACGCCATCGAATGCAGATATCACGCCCGCGTATCGCTCAGGCAGTAATGACCTGAGCCTTAACCTATATGCGGCGTTATGATCAGTAAATTCGCAGTGTTCATCCCGGGGGTGATCAACTTACCAGGAAGTCCCAGAGCATCTTCACGAGCGGATCCGGAAGCGTATACAGATCGACCGAGAACTCACCCGCATCGACGTTGTTTTGAATATAAGTGCTATCATCCTTGTGGTCGTGGATCATCTGGATAACCTGCAGGAGGTCGTCCTCGCTGAGCTTGACCAGGCCGTCGGCCATCTTCTCAACGTCAAACGACTTCTTCTTCTTGCCGCCATCGGCTTTCTTTTGCTTGCGCTCCTCGTCCGAGGGCAAAGGGCCCGTCTCGCGCAGTATATTTTGCAGCGCCTGGGAGGGGTTCCTGAAGACAATGGTGTGGATGTTCTCGTACTGCGGCGCCGAAAAGTTGAGGTCGTGGGTGATGGTTTGTTTTCCGCCCTTCTCAGTCGTGAAAAGATCAATCTGCATCTCAAACTCACCCCATCCCTCGTTGGTGCACGCAAAGGGGGGTTCATGAAAAGCTGCTATGATTAGCATCTGCAGCCTTCTAGCCATGTCTGCGAGCACGAGGACATACTCTGAACGGGGTTCTCAAACGAGGGGTGAAGATGATAGACGGCCTTGGTGAAGCATCTCGCCGGCTTCTCCTTCCCGTCCTGGTCGAGAATGTAGATTTCGACCGTCCATTCTTTCATGGGAAAGCCCTCATTGACAGCAGGCTTGGGACTGTTTGACGCGGTCAGAGTACAGTTCTCCGAAAACGTGTCATCTAAGTGGCTCGCCTACATGTTATGCTGCTCGGTGACAACCTTGATTTTACGCTGTAGTTCCCGTCCAAGTTAGACAACTTTCCGCTGTCCTTCCATACCACAGAAGCGGTACGACAAGCATCCAGGTGGCACTCACCTCAACGATCATCTTGGCGACGACTCTGGCCCGGGTCGATCTGGCAGCAGCGGTCTGATTGGCGTTGAGCGGCGCACCAGAGACAACGATTTGCTGCTCCTGGTCTTGGTGCTGCGGATGGTGCTCCGCTGTAGTTCAAGACAAGAATCCCACAAGCGTCAGTCTTCCCCAGTCTTCCAACACAATGTCAAGAATAAGTAAAATATAGCGCTTCAAGAGGAACGTGGCACGATCGAGTACAGCGTGTTCGCGACGCTGGAAAGACGAGGATGTGTTCGAGGGAGTCGCAGTCTTAGAGGGCCAAGGTATCCGATATGCGTTCGAGGCTGAGAAAGACAAAAATCAGGGATGAATGGGGGTTGATACACAGAACTGTAGTAACCAAGTAAGAAAGTTCGAGTTGAGTCTGTGGCAAGGGCTCGTGGGCAAATCGACGGGCGGTGGCAGGCGAGTTTGGTGACTTTGGTCGACTAGCTTGACGGTCGCAGGTGGTCGCGATGCGACGTGCAGCTCGAGCAATTGCGCGACCACGACTTTGAACAGGGCTTGGCATGTAATTAGGTAACGTACCTTGGTGTGGCGCACGAAGCGCAGCCGACCGGCTACGAGTGGCGCGCGGTGACATGACTGTGGCGGTGCGCTACTTTAGTGTAGGATCGTCGATTCGTCGTCAGCGAAGCTTTGCGATCAAGTTTGTCCGTGCCCAGTCTGACGAAGCGACCAAAGATGGGTCTGGAGTTTTGCACCACAGGTTGTCGAATCAACTGGTGTAGGCATAAATCAGTGCAAGAGTAGAAAGCAACTTGATGCTTTCCAGGAATCGATGGTTGGATTGGGGATTAAGTCATGTGGAATTGCTGTGTTGCGCGTTTTCCTTCTTGCTGGGTTCAAACTCATTGCCTCAGTAAGTCCAGTTTTCCTTCATCGGCAGCCCAGGCCTCTTCTTTGGAAGGGTCAAAGACTCATAGTGCATCATCGCACGCACAGAAGATAAGGAGACTTGATGCAATTTGCTCTATCTACAGCTATCGGCGCTGGTCTTTCTCTCCCGGGAACGGAGCTTCCTCTCTTAGTCTGACTCGATGGGTGGTCGCCTCTGTTGTTGGGATGTTGCGTATATGTGATCGTCATCCCCGCTTGTATCGCGCTTGGAGAAGCGGATATATTGTGTTGCTAGGGGAGGGGGAGGGTGTTCTTGGGACGGGATGGTGCATATTCCTGAGCTCATCGCTTCCATTAACAGTCATAAATTCCTGTCTTACGCACCCTCCTCCTTCTTCTCCTCCTCACTGGTCTTAGCAAACAGAGGCTCATTCTCCTTCTGAGCCTTGAGGAAGGCATCCTTGAACTGGTTGGCGTTGTCCGAGTTGGCGAAGCGGATAGCTAGTGTGATGGCTTCGGGCTCGCCCTCGCTCACGTCGGCAGTTGCATTCCAAACCCAGCTTCTGTCTGACCCAACGTTGGGGGAGAGCTTCAACTCCGGGACAACTATGAAAATGTAAGCGTCCAGAACGATATCACTCGTCGCTCAGGATATGAGGGCGTTACATACCGTAGTGGTTGGCGCAGACCTTCAGAGTCTTGTCGCGACGCATGACCAACCTGGTCTTGCCGGTCTCGCGGTGCTTGAGGAGGCGCACATCGCCAGTACCACGCTCCTTCCACTCGCGCGTCTCGGCAACGTACTTGAAGAGCTTGGCGCGCATCTTGAAGACCTGCTCCTCCATCTCCTCGTTGGTCTTGGTCTCGACCTTTTCGGTCAGGTGGATCACGGGCTCGAAGTGGACATCATCGGACTCGGGCACTTGCTCCTCCTATCCGCATCACGTATTAGCGTAAATCTTGCGCATCAACCTGAAATTGGTTACTGACCTCATCACCCTCCTTGTCCTTCGCAGCAGCAGCGGCGGCTGCAGCAGCAGCCTCGCGCTGGGCCTTGTTGCTGCCAGACGTATCGCCGCGGTCTTCATCTTCATCCTTCTTTTCCTTCTTCGCGCCACCACCAAACATGGAGAAAACAGATGAGGAAGTAACGGGCTTAGCCTCCTCGGCAGCAGCGGGAGCGGGAGCCTAGACGCGAAACAAAGACAGGGATTAGCCAAGCTACACTCCAAACAGCATCAGGACGGGAGTATAGCAGAAGAGGCCCGTTCCCATCCCGCGACTGCTGATGCGCTGATGTTTTGTTTGGACATACCTCTTGCGTCTCCTCGGCCTTGGCTTCAGGCTTCACCTCCTCGAGCGGCTTGTTGTCGTTTTCGGCAGACATCTTGATCGCGAGTTCCTAAGCAAACGACACTGCGTAAATCCTAGGCAGAAAATGGGAGTCGTTAGTCAAAGTCGGTTTCCTCAAGAGCCCCCCGTGTTCAGGATACCGTCACGAGCGCGTTCGCCCCTCCCCCGCCATGGCCTGGCCAGGCGCCTGCACGCAAAAAAATTGGGCGGGGTAACTATGGGCGGGGCTCGGAAATAAGACGCAATGGAAGAGGCCATACCGGATGTTGCAAAAACTTGGAAGCCTTCACAACTACGTGTGTATGTCTTTGCGTGTCGTGATGTTGGGTAGGGACGTGCCTGACGTTGGAGAAGTGGATAAGGCAGGTAAGGTAAGGTAGGGAGGGCACTTTTAACAAGATAAAATGGTCCTTAACATGCAATGTGGTGGTGGGTGGGATGGGAGATTCGATTTGGAAAACGGCTGCCCCTCACTTCAGTTGATCCCAAAAACCAACAAATCAAAACCGAATTTTGCATGAGCGGGCCTGTTTGCCCGGCGCCGATTCTTGATTGACTGCAGAAGCAATTCTTGATATCTGCATAACTAATTATTAGGCAGCTTCAGGTACGGATACATACCAAGCATACTCCGTACATACATATCGCTTTATGCAGACCACCCGGTTACACAATGTATGCAACAATCTGGTGTCTTAATCGTCGAAACCTGGAAGTTCGAAACCCGGAGCATTTCCCACAACTGTCACGACATGTTCCGAACATCGTCTTATGAACTTGCATGACTGCTGTGTATTGTTGATCCAGCCGCCACCGGGATCATGTTCTTACAGCTGAACAAGATGGGAAGCCCGAGCTATAGACGGATCACTGTGGTAGGGATACGTACTTGGTTAAGCCAGGGGAGCGCGTGAAGCAATCGTCCCAGCCAACCCGGCCATGCTTCAGGATAACGCGCATCACAGATGAGGAAGAGGAGAGTTAGGGCCTGAGCCTCAGGTGGTAAAGAAAAAGGTAGCCATAAAAGTGAATTTACCTAAGGTTGTCAGGGTGCACATCCCAAGCAAAACTCCAGTCCAGAACCCCCGGCACCCTTAAACCCTATAGAACCACAGGCACGTACCCCGGCCACCGTCCCGTTTGCTGTCCGTTGGCCCAAACCTATAACAGGGAAAGCAAGAGAAAAAGGGAAATGCTAGTAGAACCGAAAGCCGAGCATCAATCTCCTCCCAGTATCATCTTCTTCCACCGGTTGTCCCGACCTCTGTCCTGGTGGTTGGCCTCCTTAACTCCTTGGCCACCTCTTCCAGAGTCCCGCTTGCATGACCAGCAAGATCCATGCCGCATGCCGAAGAGCAATCTCGACCCTTTTTTCTCCTGGACTTTCTGGACCCTAGCCAGCTCGTCGTATTTCAGCTTGAGAAATTCGGATGCTTTGCGCTGGTATTCGGCATACTCCTCCATCCTTCCCTGCATTTTGAGGTACCACAGCCTCGAAGCGATCTGTGCCTGAAGGATGGAGACATCAACGCCTTTGCGTAACTTCTCAGCCGATTCGAGTTGGCGCACAATGTGTTCCCTGGCTTGGCTCGTGGCCCGGCGCACCGCTGACCTATGATCCCGAGCGGCCGCCAAGGCGTGCCCGAATGCAGCTGACAACTTGGATACAGCGGGTACATAAGTGTCTTCAACCAATTGCGATGCTTCACCGAAGCGGGCGGACACCTTCTGGATAGCGCCTTGAAATATTTGCAGGCCCGCGTCAATGGCCTCGGAAACCGCGCTCTTGCCAAAATCCACCTCAAACGTCTCGTTTATCTTTGGTCGGCGACTCGTGACAACAGAGACGTTCAGAATGCCATATGCGTCTTTCGCCGCGAGCTCGACGAGAACTCCTTCATCCACTGAGGAGAGCTTTGTCTTGAGAGGCTCGGTGCCACGGTACACATCGATATCGATCGCGCCGTGCGCGAGCCACAGTGCCCTGTTTCGTCCAGGGATTGCAACCAACAACTCGGTGGGGCCGTGGATGTGGACAGAGCAGGTCGTCTTCTTCGCTGAGCAAACTGGCTTCTTGATCTCATGGTCGACAGGGGCAGTCAACGGCCTGTCAGAGAGAAGTCCAGCAAAAGACAACGCAGAAGCCAAAGTACTAGTTGTTGGCTTTGCCTGACTAACCTGAACGGTCCTGGTGGAAGTGACATTGATCACAACCGTTGTTGTAGAGGTAGCCACGGTCGGAATATGACTGGTCATACTGACTCCCAGACTATGAGGCAGGTTTGAAGTTTGTGAAGAGTTTCCCGGTCGTGGTGACGCCGGGAAGACCATGGTGAGGAGTGAGACAATCAGGGACATAAGGATGGGCGCAATGAATGCAAGAAGCAACCATTGTTTCGGGATGGGGGAATCGAGGAACTTTGCCCACGCCCGCCTGGCCTTTTCTGAAGCCTCAAACAGCCCCAGTTCTTGGATACCCTCAAAGGTTGAGGTCTCCAACTCACTAATTGGCTCTTCCGGTTCAGTCAAGCCGGCCAAATACGCTAGGTTGCGGTTCATCTGCCGTGCGTCGATATCCACAAAGGATGAATGGTCAATGGGAAAGCGCTGAGGAGCCATTGGTCTCTCTGGGTCGCGAGACTCTAAGCACATATGAACTGTATGCTCGTTTACATACTTCGCCCAGCGTTTCGCAGGCTGCTTGCCGAAACTCTGCCGCTCAGTGATGAATATGGACGGCACACCGTGGCGGTTCATGAAGGCCCAGGCCGCGTCTCTGGTGCGCTGGGACTCGGTGTCTTCCTCTTCAGAACAGTAGAATATCGCGATATTTGGCAAATCCCACTTCGGTTGAACGACCGAGCCGCTGGGGGAGAAGAGCGACAGGTACGATTTGTTATTCCCGACGGTAATAGAGTAGACGGTGTCGTTTGGGAGTGATGCCCCTTCAAAGATGATTTCCTCAGCAGCAGTGCAGTGGTCGACTCTGATTTGGTAGGGAGACGCCTCCATGAGCTCAAGCTCGGGAGAGGGACCAAACGAAGAGATGGGCACGATATTGTATACGCCTTCACGATGGCGGTTGAAATAGTCCTCCTCCTTGGCGCCGTTCTTTGGCGACACCCAGATTGCACTGCAGATCTTGAGCACAATACTCCTCTGTGCGTCCGGACGGCCCACATAGAGGAGTTTTAGAGGTTCCTTGGTCGAAAGATATGCCTGGGACATTGTTTGCCGAATGGTGGCAACGAGCCGCTTCGGGGCGTCGGGCAAGTCCAGGCTTTGTGCCAGTGCGGAAGACTCGACCTCAGTGAACTCCCGAATAGTATGTTTGACAGATATCTTCTCCAGGAGGACCTGGCCGTCGCTGCCGTCGCCGCCGTCGCCGTTGCCTTCTTGAAACTCGATGGAGCGGACGACAACACCAGACCCTTCAGTTGCGGATCCATATTCGAGGCTGCTCATCGGCGGCTGTGTCGAAGGATTCTGGAGTGCCTGATCGGCGTATCTGATAGAAGACGCATGTGAAGAATGGTCGGATTCCTCGTCTGAATCGCTGTTGTAGTGGGCTTCGGATCCGTCTAGGCTGTGTACGTCATCGGGCCGGGAGACAGACAGTGAGCCCGTCGACTCGGTGAGGCGGCCATCCTGGCTCTCACTGTCTGTGCCATTGATGATCTCATACGCCGAGTCCGCCAGCAAGTTCGAGTCGGACATGTTGGGCGGCTGCTTGATGTCGGGGGCGCTGTTAGAGACCCAGTTGGCGAGGTATTGGCTGCCCTGGGGCTTGGGAAACCGGAGGATTGGTAGTGAATCCGAAAGCTGTTGTTCCGAAGGAGGCCGGTATAAGTCGCTCGAGGCGTCGGCTGCAGTAGATTGTGTCTTTATGCACTCGCTGGTCTGTCGTTCCATTACGATGGGCAACTGTCAGCCTTGGGCATGCAACTACATAGCCCGACCTCTCGGCCGATGCATGAAAGGATGAGGAGGTCGAAGACGGTAGAGCACAGTTGAGGTTCTCTTGTGTAAAGAAAAGAGAGGGGCTCTCGAGAAAGATGAGCTCGTCTCGGATATGTGAGGAGATACGAGAGGAAGAAGGAAAACCAAGCGGGCAACTTTCTGAGAAGTATCAGAACGAAGGGAACTAACACCCGGAATCTGATTGCTTATGTTATTTGCTTCAGAATCCTTGAAATAGTTTGTTGAGTCCAAAGCTGTTGCGTTGCGATGGCTACTCTGGGTTTCTGCCTGTGCCGGAGTTGCCTTACAATGGCGGGGGTGGGGAAGGCAGGCTGGAAGCCCAAGTCGTGTCAGCTTCAGGTGCGAGCGAGCCTCGGAAGGCCGTCGGTATGTCGATGACCAACAAGCAAGCCAAATCAGAGCGGCTGCGCTGTTAATCGATATTTGCTGGCATGCGTCCTAAGCAGGAAGGTATTGTACAGGGAAGAAAACGGGTTGTCACCATTGAACAGTGACGATGAGAAGGGGAGGAGAGTCAGGCGGGGCGGTCCTGATGGTGAAGAGCTGAAGATGGTTTGCTGCAGTGCTCGAGGCCGGCCGCATGGTATGGTAAGGTAATGAAGTCACATATTGTCCGGCCCATGACCGACCTCTTTGTACCTAATGCGAGTGCAGTGCTGCTTTGGGGTCACGTTGTTGCCTATCACGGAAAGCAGTCTGTCTCCCCATTAAAGTGTTAGTCGCTGGTGGGGTTGCGAGTCAAGTCTGGAACAAGTACCGGTGCCCCACTATGCGGAGGTGGGGTCGAGGGTAGGTAACGTACCTTAGTTTACATCGTACCTTGAGTTGATACCCAAGGTACAACTGCATAGATATTTCGCCAGGGAACCAAGTGTCAGACCTTGAGTGGATTGAACGGACAGGATTTAATAGCTGGCAAGGCAGTAGTTCTATACCTCATGTCATCCACAGCAGATTGCTTCAAGAGTGGTGCCGGATCTCATGGTTTCCTCGTTTCGCGTTCCAACAAGATTGTGTATCGTTGCTGTATCGTACGGTACCTTATCTTTGGGAACACGTAATACGTCCAGATCCTCGGCTTGGCACCTGCCTTGTTGACGCAGGCTTGCATGTCCCAGTGTCTGCTGAGGACAGTTCCAAACGCCGCCATCAAGCGCCAGGTTTGAAGAAGAGTTAAGTGCTTGATAATAAGATTTCCCGAAACGCCGGCCGGTGATCAAAACAGAGACTCCCTCGCCACCCTGAGAAATTACAATATAAATACAAAAACCAAGAACTCCTGTTTTTCGTCAACCAGACCGTGCAACTCCTGACACGGGTTTATCGTGGTATCTCTCCATGTATCGCATCTCATGCCTTCCAGACCCTCGGATGGAAAATGGGTATCGCCCTACCCGTGCCGTCCTTAAGATGCTGCCAGGAGAAGCCAAGAATTACCGAAACCCTGGCTCTGAACGCAGGGATGTTGATCATAAACGAGAAGGTCATGAGCAGCCTCACGCTACAAGATAGAGTGCTTCATGAAGATCTTCTTGAGTGAATCGGTGTCGAAATCGTCTTCGTCGGGAATCATCTCCAGAATTCCGGTTAGGTTGGCAAAGAGATCGCCCTGGTTGCGATATGCGAGGATCGCCGGGACACCGGCATTGTCAAACTCGATGTCCTCGTAGTGAACCTTAACAAAGCGGATAGCAGGGTAGAGGCCAACAAGGGGAACGAGCGCCGACTCGATCACCGCTGAAACGTCGCACTGTTTGCCGGTTAGTCCGATGCAAGGTATGGACAGTTAAGGAATCAATGGCTGACCTCATTGTCGTAAACAAACACAACGACCACCGTCTCCCTTCCGACCTTTTCTATCGCGTCGAGATAGCCGAGCGCGTCTACTTTCTCAAAGCGGCCGTACAGCCTGACACTAGGGCTTGTTCTCCTGTTTCGAACGGGCTTCCTGCTCTCCTCCTCGAGTTCACGTCTCCGACTCTCCCGCCAATGCCGTATAAAGGATTCCTCGTCAGGATCCTCGACGCCGCTGCCGTCGCTATCAGGCCCGCTACTGCTCCGGTCGTGTCTGGCACTGTCCAGGCCGAACACACTGCGGCGGGCGGCGCGCACCTTCTCCTTGAACTTTGCGCGCCGGGCTGTCTCGTAGGACCTGGCGTCGGCAATGACGCCTTTCACTCCGGTCGACCGGCCCGAGTCGAACGAGGCGGGAGGAAGCCTGATCTCTGTCTGGGCATCCATGGTGGGCATTCGCATGGCCGCGTCGATCTGGCGCGACCGGTACAAGTCTTCCTCGTCTTCGCTTTGTTCCTCGGCCTCTCTGGCTGCAGCGTCGCGATCTTCCGGATGGAACCGGTCAAGGTCCGAGCGGTTGTTCTTGTCGAGGAAGGCGGCAAACTCTTCCTCAGCAGGTGTAGGATTCGACATGGTATGAGAAGGAGTAGTGACCTTTTCTCAATGGGGGGGTGCCGACTTAATAGGAACTGCTTTGTTTCGGGACAGGGGCAAGGGGGGAAACACCGGGTTGGAGGGTAGGTAGGGCGGACTGGGCTGTTGTGCACGGCGAGCCCGGTAGACAGGGGCCACTAGTGTGGATGATCCTGTGGAACGTCGCCTCTGCCAGAAGCAGCAGGTAATTGAGGCTATGTAATAAGGTTGCAGACGCTGAGCTCGGCTGAAGACGGGCTGGTAATTGAGTGATCAGTCGAGTGATTGGGCGCCGCAACTCGGACTGTAAGGGGTTAAGAATCGGGAAAGTCGAGGCCCTGATCTCCTCCTCGAATCACGGTCGGAACCAGAGCACAGAATGTGAAATGCTTGATGAGCCTGCGCTTGATGGAAGATACCGTACGTAGTGTAGTATTGGCCACCACAGAAATACACGTCACTTAGCCGGCCCTGTCTAAAACCGGACTCGAACCCCTGAAAAATGCGTCAGAGGGTTTCAGATGAGAGGGAAGTAGTCACGACGTCGGGGCGGTCGCTCGGAAGCGGGGATGCGCTACCTAGCTGATGATTGGTGGTGCCTCAAGAACGCCAGCAAAACAAGTGCATAACATTCGGGGAAAGCGGCGACTTTTCAGCCTGTCTCACTGGGAGCAAAGAGCGGAAAGAGGAGGGGGTGCAGAGTGGGATCGGCAAGCGGAATTCTGCACTTGCTGCATGCCAGTCGCGTGGTTGACAGGGATCTTAACAGACGCAAGTGTGGAGTCGTACAGGATTGTGGGATTCGGGACAAAGGGTTCGACGGGGCTCATACATTTGTACTGGACCATATTGTACAGTACACTACTTCCCCATGATGTTTGGACAAAAAGGGAACGAGCTTCTCACCCAACGAGCATTACACTAGTGTAAAGGCCGGGGCTTTCGAATTGTGTGGGAGGAAGGCTGAGATGCAGGCGGTGTTAGTAGTAGAGGGGCACAAGGGGCGCTGTTACTTACACTTCGTCAGCTAACTCGAAAAAAAGTCGTTCTTTCCTCATTGCCCATGGCAGCATCACAGTCAGTCCAAATATCTGCTTTGGCCCATTGATCTCTCAGTTTAAGCCCAGGACCAGCCGCTATGACTATGCAGCATCCATGATGCGCAACGAGGCGATGAGAGGGACCAGCGGTCGAATAATGAGAGTACGAAACGGTTTGCTGTGTAAAAAGGATGCGATGGCATACAAAGTAGGGTACGAGTTCCTCCGTACGTGAGTTTCCCTCAAATTGATGTCCCTTAGCGGCGAAGCAACACCAAACACCAATGCTGTGCGGCGGCACGCTTGTAAATTATTGATCCTGCAAGAGTCACAGGATCCGTAATCTTGGAATCCAACGTAATTCAATTTGGAGGTACTAATCACACCTTTGCTAGACTTGGGAGAGTGGCCAGATCAACAATGCGTTCATCTCATCCATTTGCCTGATGATGATTTTTGTATACTCTTGACGTACAATTACATACACACTCGTGGCCTCGATTGAGGTCCATGGCACGAAAGAATCCACAAGTCGGCGCTAATTTTCCGGCTAAAACAATAAGTTTTCCCTTCCGGTACACATCATCACTGCATAGGAGACGTTTCATGCCCTGTTTCATCGTCCCTAGCCTGCCGAGACTGCCAAGACACCCTTGTTTCCCTCTCTTGACATGTGTGGGTCGTCCAAGCATTATGCTAACTTCTCGGTCCACCTAGAGAATTTTTGTTCCCACCTTCCAGAAGGTTTTTCACGTGTATTGCCGCCCCTGAGCCGGCCCCAGACTGGTGCTTCCATCACAGCCGCAAGGACCACGATCATGGTGTCGTACGTTTTCCATTCCCGCGGGACTGGATCTGGGAAAGCGCATCTTGATAGTTCTTGATGGTTCGGGCAAGTCAGGCCACCCGATCGACCCCGATGGTTCGACTGGTGGCACTTCAAGTTTGCGACGACTGAGAATCGAACTCAAGTTCGCCATCCTGCATTCGGGTTCTCGCGTTAACTGCTAATGAGTAGATCGTGGTGGATTCCAATCTGGGATCAGTCGGCGACTCCGTTACTGATCCGTATCGGGTTGCGCTACTGAAACAGGCGTCATTGGTATGATGCCGAGGATGCGTTCCCATTCCAAATCCTGCCTCTTGACCTTACGAGTTGCGACAGCAGGCGATTCTCGATTTTTGAGCCCCGCCACTCGTCTCCGTGACCAGTATCTGCCGTCTTCAACATGGGCTCTTCTTGGTGGCCCAAAAAGACGTTTTGTACCTTGCTTGTTAGTATTTCCCCGAGTCCTCAACTCAGTGTGTGAGTCTGTTGTAACTTTCGCGATGACGACTACGCCACACCTGGAGTCTAAGGCTATACCTAGCCTATCCTCCAACTCTGTCCACCATCGCTGGTACAACAACCTAGCCGCCACCTGACAGATTGGAAGCCGCACCTAGATACTTAGCCCTCTAGATATATCTCCTAGCAATCAAGACCCTCTCGGCGGAGCAGCGGCTTAGAATCACGAACAACTTCACCAGGGCTAGTACAGCCCGGCCAGCAACCTACAGTGGACGCTGCCCTTCCCATTTATTAGATGCTTCTGCCTAGGCACCTGCTAGTATACAATTTGCCGACATACTCTCCTCTTTTAAGCTCTGACCTCCGGAGCAGGCAAGGAACGGCCCTCACGCCTGCTAAACCCCTGTTCGTGTGCCCTTGTGCCATAATTCATTAGACCAGCAATCCCACCTCAAACTCGGACCATTCATCTAGACTCCGTATTGCCTCTTTGCGGTACCTATCAACGAAGTCAGGCGCTACGTTAAAACCAACATGTTTACAGGTAGCCTAGGGAGCGATGGGCCGAGGCCTAGTCGAGTCACAGGCAGTTCCAGTAGTTGACACCTCTGGATAATGAGAAGGCACCAATGTCATTAGGTCATGACTCCGGGTTGCAGTCAGGGGTAAGTCATACTTATATACTGGCGATAATATAACTGCTGCCTCCCGGAAACGCGCTGGCTCCGGCATAATGACTTAAACCTCGTTATGTTTACAATGGATCCAGCACACAACGACAATTCAATTGGTCTCTTGATGACTAGAATGGCAGATCCTTTTGGGCTTGGGGGGTGAAAGGGGAAAGAGGGCCTGAGATATTACCAGTAAAGAAGCAAGTAAACACACAGACACAGTAATCGGAAGACAATAAAAAACCTGGGATGAAAGAAAATGGTTGATCGGAGAGTCAACCCTTGGACCTTGAAACCGAAGACTGAGCCCGGATAAGAGTCTAGAAGAGTAACATTTCTTCAACCTAGAGGCCGTCCGAAGGCATATCAACCAAGGAGGGCTACGCCATCACCCGACGCCATTGACAAGCTCAATGCTCTGGCGGTTCTTGTTGTGGATATACCACTGTAAACTTGCCTGGTATATCGATCCCTAAGTACGGTAATTACCAACTGAGATGCTTCTGAGACATCGTGGATCTGAGGCAATGAGATGAACGTGACCGAGGTTTATAAGTCAAGTTACCCGTCCTACTTTCAACCCTCCACCACCCCCCGGGTAGAGTGAAGTAACTCTATTTCCCTCCTGGCCACACAAGTCAAGAACCGCGGCGGGATACCGGTCAGACACAGGTCATTGTCTCAAAGGGGCTGGAGCTGAAGTTCACCACATGTCGAAATCAGGTTGAGACTTGCACTTCGTAAGGCCCAACGATCCGAACTCGGTAACCTCATTCGTCAACTGACTTAATGCTGGCTTCAACCAGCGCAAACGAGGAATGGACAGACTGGACTCGTATGCAGGAGGTGATAGACAACCCGCGGAAGCCAACCCAACTTTGACTGGAAGGTAGGAACACACAACGCACTTACTTACGTACGTATCCAAGAGCAAGAAAACACATCTCCGCCACTTCCCAGGGACCCAAGTCATATCGTGGACGACAAATAAGTGACCTGAATCATCTGCCCCTCCCGGTAGCGATCATGATGCTGGAGAACCCAACTGAAGTTGCTGTTTCTCCTTTGAAAGTTCTCCCTGAGCGTAGTAGTACGTCCTCTGGCCCACTTTTCCTATCGCCTGCCCGGGAAGGTCGTCCCACAATAGACTGGAGCCTGGGATGTGTTCAAGGCAGAGCCCGTCTTTGACACTCTTGTCTCATTTACTCGATGGCCATCCACGAAAAGCGTCACGGTATGTGCCACTTAGACCTCTGTCAGTTCAGGCCTTCAGGGTGGCATTGCTGCGAACTATTAGTATAGCTACTAGCTGAGGAGGGCCAATGCGTCAGATGGATGGCTTCTGTTGGCCTGGTTCGGACAGAGGGAGGGCATATGGGCCCGGGACTCTACTAGCAGTTGTTCATGCGAATGTGGGCCCCATCTTCATAGTAAGTCATTTACTACTTATACTATTCTACTAACTATAAGCCTGGTTTGTTGGGGAAATTTCCTAGAGATCGTCGAAATTTCCTATATCTCGGGAGCTAGATGACAACAAGTGTTGTTCTCGACAACAGACCTATCCCCCTCTTCAGCCTTCCTACTAGTAGTGAGCAACATGGAACTGGAACTCAAATGGAGGTTCTGAGAGGCTAGGGCCAGCCGGACCACGGGCAATTTTCCGTAGATACGGGGCCGAACACATCGAGTTTGCCCAAGTCATCCGGTTGATACACGGTAGGGCATATCCGTCACGCTGGAATTTGATACCTTTGTGCATACGCCATACCCAGGTACTTAGGGTACGCCTGCTGGAGCATATGACACTCATGGTAATCCCAGAATTTCTCTACTTTGTTGATCGCCGGGCCCTACTGTGTATGAAGTTGTTTTCATTGCCAGGGGGGTTTTTTTTTCTGGTGGCGGAAAGACGGGAAGCCCTCAAGACACCCGATTGGTGAAAGGCCAGCGATCCCAAAGTTATCACAACAGCGGCGCCGATGGCTTCATGTGCGGCGCTTGAGGTGCAAACAGGGGTTGCGAGATGTACTCCAGGACTATATGCGCTGCTTAGGTCCGGCGAGGAATGTCCCCTTCCTTTCTGTTATGTGAGTAAGGTACCCTCTCGATCACCAGCATGCTATTCGTATAGGATGAAATGATCACAACACAGACAGAGCCGGGCCTTTTGAGGGAACAAGCTGCCAACGTCGGAGACGCTTACGCTGCCAAGGGTCCAGAAATGTCTACAAGGACCTGAGGCTGCAGCCAACAACCGGATGACAAGCTACGTTCAGCGCGGATGGGAAAGACATACATGTCCACGAGAGACATGGCGTCACTGGGAATCCGGGATCTGCCGATGTGCGAAAAGCACTTGTCTGCGAAACTGAGAGAGTGTGTGTGTGACGAGGGCGGTGTTAATCGTTGAATCAACGCACCTTGAAGCCGGTGGTGGGCGATCTGCGGCCAGCATCCCGCGAACCTTAAGGCCTCATACACCATCATCACCCTCCATCTCGATGTTGGATGCCATCCTCCCCGCGTTCAATCCACCATGAGTCGAGTCCTCCCGTGTGGGGGACGGGCCGGATGGTGTTGCGGAAACTCTTAGTCCGGGAAAATGCCAATCTTGAGCCGCCCTGACATCATATAAATTGGTCGAATATTCGGTTACTGTACATACATAAAGGTAGGGTACTGTAAGGTAGGTCGTTGACATCGGGTTTTTGAACCTACCACGTATCAAGCGAAAACGTACCAGCTCATGTAGTACTTTGCATCCCTATACCGTAGAGTACGACCGCGGAATCCTTCTGCTCCAGAGTGATATAATCGTACCATGGTACACGAATGTGGGTTGTTGACATCAAGGTTCCTTCTCACTCCGTGCCTCAGAGGCTCAGGGGGAACAGGTGGTTCTCTTGATAAAGCAGAGGCGGTGAAGGCTTTGAGTGCAACCGAGATGTGTGATATGCTTTGGCGACTTCAATATTTGCTCAAAATTTTATGTTCCCAATGCATATTTCCGTGCAGGACCGAGCAGCCCGTGGAGTCGTTATTGCAGCCCTCGATAAGCTTTCTTTGAGAGTTTGGTCGTCCTCAGATGTTGTTTAGGTCCCCCACGTGCTCGTCAGGGTAGAAGTACGGTTACGGAACGGAAGACAGATCGCCTCCCTCCCTACCTGGGAGTTAGCTACACTAAACAGTGCGCTAGCGCTCTCATTAGCGCAGATCCGCTTCAATTTTCGCCAACGCTGGGGGGGCTCAAGCCTCTTGGCACAGTTCTTGCCGGTGCCTGTGGTTCTTGGCGGTGCTTCCACTGCTTCCACTCGCCCAAGTTGCAGCATCAACAAAGAGGAGCCTCTGCCATCTCGCTGTCTGCTGACCCTTGTCCGATTTCGAGAATCGTCCAGTGAAGGTCAGATTTGGGCAAGATCGAACATCCCTGCAATCTGCAATCTGCAACCTGGAACCTGCAGCCTCTCACACCGGCTTGCTCCAACAAACTCACACACAGCATTATCATCGCTGCGAGATAGCGTTGGTGAGAATCAGACACTTTGTATTGTACACTACTTGTACAGTAACGGTGGCAGCATCGGACTGAGTCTTCGATCTCTAACCGGGGGTTGCTGATTCATTCACAGATTGTTCCCCTGCCTTTTTCAGGTTGCTTCTGTCTCAATTCTCTTCCATCTTCATTCTTAATATCCTACTACTCCTCCCTCCAGCGCATCGCCTCTCTCCGCTACAGTCCCTCCGCGTCATCCCCTGATTGCAGTCATGTCGGCCTCGAACACCAAATACAGTTGATTCCTGCTCTGCAGGGATTTTGATATCGGGAATCGTTATCCAGTATTATCTGTCGCCTGGTTTCTCTGAAAGCCAATCCCGGTCAAGTCCCATCGGCCATCCTGCCTCGTCGCTCCATACGTATCTTCAAGCTATCATCATCCGGCATGGAGGGCTTCAAGGAATTAATCCTGAGGCAGATCAAGGCCCTCCGTCCTTCGTTCTTCTCCAAAGAACCCCACTTCAATTTCATCACCGCCCATTGTGAGTGTCCCATGCACCGACCCGTAAGCGGCCCGCTAACCGAGTGGCAGACTTTTGGATCATCGGTCTCACCCTGCTGGGATCCGTCATCGTCTACGGCGCAGGCCGTGGGAATCTAGCATACATAGACGCTCTCTTCTTTGCCAGTGGCGCCTGTACTCAGGCGGGCTTGAACACAGTCGACATCAACACACTCAACACGTTTCAACAGTCCATTTTCTATTTCTGGTCCATGTTGACGAACCCCATCACTATCAACTCGTTTGTTGTCTTCCTCCGTCTCTACTGGTTTGAGAAGCGCTTTCAACACATTGTCCACGAGTCTCGCCTGAGGAGGGGCACAATCTCCAGGTCCAAGGTGGTTACGAGGCCTGGCTTGGACGACGCTGAGAGGGGTGTTGACGGCCGAAAGATCACCGTCGTGCTCAACGGCGCCAGGGCACGCATTACGAATGACGGAACCCTGCTAGAAGATGGGCCCCCTGCGCCAAAACCCGAGACCGCAAACCCATCGTCGGCGGATGGCGCCGTTGGCTCGCCGGAGCCCCGCAAGCCCGAGATCAAGTTTGCTCGCACCGTCACCAAGAGCGATGGCCTAGGCGAGGATGCCCTCAAGTTTCCGCCAGCGCGGTCAGAGCAGGAGCACATTGCTATCCTAGAAAGACAACGGAATGCCGACGATGAGGTGCTGCGAATTCCAAACCCGAGGGATGTCGAGCGCGGCATCCGTCCGAAGCGTGTCGAAGCCGGAGATGTTGAGGATCCTGATCTTGCGTCCCCCCGGGCCGAGGGTTTTGGCTTGGGTATTAACGGCGAGCCACGGCTGCCTCGTGCTGACAGCCGCCAGCAAGCCATCACAATTGAAGAGCCTGACCGCCGCAGGCTCCAGGAGACCGACTCGGACGATTTGGCAGAGAACGCTAAAGCTGCGGCTCATGCCTTTTCCTTCCTCAAGATTCGGAAGGCCCGGTTCCAGGGCCGCAAGAACAAGACACTGCACGGCGAGGAGCCGGATGCCAACGTCCTATCACCCCCTAAGAGACGGCAGTCCTTTCAGACAATCCGTACCGCTTTAACAAGGGACAAGGTTGAGGGAACGCCGTATCTCAGCTGGGAACCGACAATCGGACGAAACTCGGCGTTTCCGGATCTAACCGAGGAGCAGAGGGAAGAGCTTGGGGGTATCGAATATAGGTCTCTGAAGACCCTCGCTCTGATTCTGACGGCCTACTTCTGGTTCTTCTCGGCCATTGCCGTTATAGGCTTGCTGCCATGGATTCTGAACCTCGATACCTACGGTCGGGTCGTAGACGCCGCCGGCATCAACAGGGTCTGGTGGGCCTTTTTCACTGGCAATTCGGCCTTCATGGACTTGGGTTTCACCTTGACCCCTGATAGTATGATATCGTTCAACACAGCCACGTGGCCGTTGCTGCTGATGAGCTTCCTCATCGTCATTGGGAACACAGGTTTTCCCGTCATGCTTCGATTCATCATATGGGTCTCTGCGCATCTCGTCCCCGTCGGCACGGGCATTTACGAAGAGCTCAGATTCCTACTTGACCACCCCCGTCGTTGCTTTACCTTGCTGTTCCCCTCGGGCGCTACCTGGTGGCTATTTTGGCTTCTTATTATTCTTAACGGCGTTGATGTCATGCTGTTCATTGTTCTCGATCTCGGAAGCGGACCAGTCGTCGACCTGCCTGGAGGCATCAAAGTTCTGAACGGGCTGTTCGAAGCCGTGTCTACCCGAACTGCAGGCTTTTCGTGCGTCAACCTAGCTCTCCTCCACCCTGCCGTTCAGGTCTCGTACATGATAATGATGTACATTTCTGTGTTCCCAATCGCCATCTCGGTACGTCGGACCAATGTGTACGAAGAAAAGGCGCTCGGAATCTACGGTGACAACGATTCCGACGAAAAGACAAGTCAGAGCGACTTATCCTACGTTGGCGCACATTTGAGGCGGCAGCTGTCCTTCGACTTGTGGTACATCTTTGTTGGCTTCTTCATACTCACCATCACCGAGGGGCGCCGTCTCCAGGCCAACGACTTCTCCATGTTTGCTGTTCTCTTTGATGTTGTCAGCGCTTACGGCACTGTCGGTTTGAGTCTCGGCTATCCCACCGTTAACGCGTCGCTGTGCTCTCAGTTCACAACGCTCGGAAAGCTGGTCATGATCGCCATGATGATACGTGGCAGACACCGCGGCTTGCCTTACGGTTTGGACCGCGCCATCCTCCTGCCTAGCGAATCCCTCAACGCCAAGGAGGCAGCGGACGCGGAAGCCAGAATGGCTAGACAGCATTCGCACGCGTCTGGTGCCACGGGCGGACCCCGGGCGGCCAGCCTGAAACGCCACAAGAGCTTTAGCGGCGACCAGGGCAACATTCTGACCTCGTTTCTGCACCCGGGCCCTGCCGTCCCCGCAGAGCCGGTGATGGCAGAGCTACGCAGGCGGTCCACCGATCCCGGCGCCGACGAGGAGCCGTATGCGACCCGGGTCAGCTCGCGCCGGACGGAGCCCGGGCTTACGAGAAGGTCTGACGCCCTTTCCGCTCTGTCTCGACCGTTTACACATGGCGACAGCCGAGAGTAAGTGTAAAATGGAATGGCATCTGGTGTGCATGCAATCTTGAGGAATTTGATAGATGATAATTTTGCGGGAGCACGCGGGTTGCCATTCAAAGCCTGCGTTTGGGTCAGTGTTTGGTTCGTAAGGGAATGTGATACCCCTGATGAGGATTTGAGTAGGGTAGGGAAAGGTATTGACAGATGGACACTTTGGTTGCGTTTTGTTCTGCTTCTTCTGCTATTGCTTTCTCTTCTGCTTCTTCTGCTTCTCCTTCTGCTACTGCTTCTTTCTTCTTTTGTTTGTCCTAGCTGCAAGCTGCAAGCTAGGCACCCGGGCGTTTGGGCGAGATCACTGCTTATTGAATGAGCATTGGCATTGGCTTTTGGGTATCACTACTAGACACAAGTGCATGGGAAGCACAGGGAGGGACATAGAAAACATTTTGGAGTTTCTGGAAAGAAGCTGTTGCTAGTAGTAGGCCTAGCGCGCGTACTACTACCAGTACAGCACATCCCACACGGGGTCATGGGAGGCACTGCTTTGTATTTCAGGAAGAGAAAAACAACGGGCAATGCAGGATATGCGCTTGGGTACGTCTTGGAATATATACACCTACTTTATTAATACAAGCCAGCATCTACGTACCAGATTGATTGTTACCCAGTAATTGACTTGAAGAGGAAGAAGTTGATTGCGTTAAGTTGAAGATGGTTATGGACAATTATAGTAGGAGTATCACATCCCTCCCGATGCCACAGACGTACCTTGACCCGAGAGCCGTAAATGCTATATGCACATGTATTAGCAACGTTGCAGCAACCCCTGATATATTCAAGGCCATCTTGTGTGCCCACAGCGCACTTTAAATGGTCGCGTTAGGACAGCAATGACCACGCTCTGTCTTTGGGAATAAACTTGTTTATATCGTATCTGACTTATCTGCAAGTCCGGTCTATAAAGTTCATGGTCTGCAGTCAAACGCCTCCCATCCCGTTCCGTTTCCCAAGCATAGACACACAACAAGGCGGTGAATAACTAGGTCGACACCTTTCCCGCCATCCTTTAAAGTGATAAAAAGAAATTCTACTTGGCCGCCCGAGTCGCCTGCTTGGCCTTCTCCTTCTCGCGCTGCAGTTTCTTGAAGAAGGCACTTTGGTTCTCGCCCTTCTTGGGCTTCTTGAGCGCCTTGTTGGCCGCCTTGTTCTGCTCAATGTAGGCCATGTCCTGGCCGCCGCTGAGCTCGCCGAGGGTGCCGGCCATGCGACGCACCCCGGCGAGCCCGCCGTTACCCTTCTTCCTACGACCGCCGCCGCCGCCAACCTTGCCAAAGAGGTCGTCCGTCTCGACGTCCTCCTCGACGCCCTTGTCGTTGTCGACGAGCGTCCGCTGGAGCAGCTCCCGCATCTCCTGGGGCGTGGAAAAGGCCAGATCCGGCGTCTGCTCAATGTTGGCCAGCTGAGTGATCACCTTGAAGGCATAGCCCTGGTCGACGAGGAAGGCTTGGCGCTTGGATGAGTAGTACATCTCCTGCGTGTCTTTGGAGACGAGGGAATAGAAGAAGGCGTTGAAGCCTTCGTCGTTGCGGCGTTTGGCTCGTAGGATGCGGCCCAGGCGCTGGGCCTCTTGACGACGAGAGCCAAAGTGGGAGGATATCTGGATGAGGCAGGTGGCCTCGGGCAAGTCGAGCGAGGTGTCGCCGATTTTGGAGAGGAACAGCGTGTTAACGTCCGGATTATGCTGGAAATTCTCCAGGACGTGCATGCGTTCGCTCTGGCTGGTGCCGCCGTAAATGAAGACCTTCTTCAGTTTGAGCGCGTACTGCTTGAGAGAGTACAGCTCGTCGGAGAAGACAATGATCTTATCGCCCCGTTTCTCATGGTAGTTGATGAGATATTGGCAGGCCTGGAATTTGCGCGGGTTCATGGCGTACAGAGTCCGCTTCATTCGCCCGTCTGCGCGCAAGTATTGATCGTAGAACTCTGTCGGCATGGGGCACCAGACCTCGGCGCACTGAACCTTGGCGATGTGTCCTTGTTGTGATAACTCCATCCAGTTGGCCTCATATAGCTTGGGCCCGATGAGGAAGTTAAGATCCGAAATTTTATCGTCCTCTCTCAGGAGGGTTGCCGTTAACCCGAGCTTGGAGTGGGACTTGATGGAGGATATGACGCGCCTGAACATCTCGGCCGGGACGACGTGGACCTCGTCCAGAAGCATCAGGCCCCACTCACGCCCTCGCAGGAAGTCCATCATCTTCTTGGAGTCGTGTGAGCGCTCCCGGCTGTTGGTAACCATGGAGTATGTGGTGACGATGATGCCGGTACTGCTCGAGAACTTGTTCTTGCTCTCGGCTGTGAAGATGGCAATGTCGTCCGGATTGATGTTGGACCACTTGAGGAATTCCTGGCGCCACTGTTGAACAGACATGGAGCTCGTACACAGGACGATAACGCCCTTCTTGATTGTGCAGGCGGCCGTGATACCAACCAGCGTCTTGCCCGCACCGCAAGGCAGCACGATGATGCCGCTCTTGGCCCGGCCGTTACCGAACATCTTGCTCAAGCTCTTTTCTTGGTACGGCCGGATCTGCGTGTTGGGGCGAAGGTCAATCTCAAGGTTCGGGTTTACGTCGTCATTTCTGAAGTCATATTCTTCCAGAATGGGAAAGCCAATGTCAAGGCAGCGCTTTTGGACCGTCTCAACCGAGTTGTCCAAGATCTCAAAGGCATGGACGGCTTCTTTATCATCGTCGTCTTCTTCTTCATTCAAGGTGGCAAAGAGATCACCTTCGCTGGCGGTAGCGCCTTGCTCCTCATCGGACTTCTTGTCCTGTTGCTTCAGGTTTGCTTGGTGGACGCCGGCCGCATTCTGCGTGCCCGGGATGACCAGGCCGCCCATGGTGGGCGCAAAGCTGGTGGTGTCGGACCCGTGGACGCGAAGGGCCCCGATCACCTCGTCCTTGAGGAGAATCTGTAATATCTTGGCATCCACGCTCTCTACGTAATACTTGTTCTTCTTCAGAACCAGCTTCACCTTGCCGTATTTCTTGGTGGTTTCCTCGATCTTCATGCGGACCGCCGGAGGCAGCGGTGTCTTGAGGAAACGGTCCAACGTGTCTATGATATCCTTCGGCCGCAGACCCACCGAAACTGCCGCATAGAGGCTGTGCATCGTCAGAACGTACTCATGAAGAAACGTGGGACGAGAGCGTGGCTCGGCAATCGTGGTGAGGAAGTCGGTGGCCTTCTGGGCGGCCGGATGGAAACGCTCGAGGATGATTGTGAAGTTCTCCGGGTCTATCCAGAGTGGACATTGCTGATGGTTTGGCTTGAGGGGGATTTGGGAATAGTCCCTTTTCCTAAAGAAACCAGTGGCAGCGTCGTAGCGCCGCAACTCCTTTCCCTTGTCATCGCTCTGCAAGCGCTTCCCCAGAGTGAACTTGTTCACAAAGTCATCGGCTTCCTTGGCCAGCATCGCCTCTCGCTCTTTCTGGGCCTCGTCGACATCTTCGTCAACGTCATCGGCATCCGACATGACATCGCTTTCCAAGCTGCGCGGTGTTGCCGGGCCCGGAGTCGACATGGCAGATGTTCGACCTGCCTTTGAGGCAGCGGCCTGCGCCGAGGGCGCCTTTCGCTTCGGAGGCATCGCGCGATGCTCCTTCACGACGCCGTCACCAGCGTGTGAGCGAAAGAAATACACTCCTTTGCGGTATCTGGCGGGGTGTTCTGACGATTTCGACGCCAAATGCCGATGAGCGAGTGCGAAGGGAGCAGAAGTGGCAATGGGATGAGTGAGGTTCACAATGGAAGGGATAGAGAGGATGCCTGGGTACGTTAATAGACGCTCCTTGGTATTACTAATCCCTGCCCCAACGTCTTCCCAAATACCGGTAACTTGGTCCCAGCCTCTGCCAGGCGGATTAGCATACCGGTATCCGTACATACCTCCGTAATTACCCCACTAAAAGCCGCCAAGCTAACTGGCAATTGCTCCACTGGAGTCAACTAATCCACCCCTCCACCTCGATGCTCAAAGTCCGTCAACCGCTTCACCACAACGACAAAGACATTGACGATCACACCAGCACTTCAGGCCCCTTACACATGTGATTCCGGCTTAGACTTCTGATTTCTAGAAACAATACCCCAGAAGCAAGATCTCCCTTTCACAATGTGGTACGTCCACGGCAACCACTCTACTCTTTCCCGAGAGAGCTGCCTCAGCCTGCCTGACAACTCATTCCCCATCTTCTACCCTCCGGCGTCCCTAGAGCTAACGTTGTTCTCTCAGCAAACACATCCTCAACGCTCAAGTGTCGATCCGCTCGCCATGCTGTACGCTACTCCCATCCTCAGACACCTAGCAGCCTTGCCAGTCCAAAACAACCACTTCCTCTTGAATGCGACTGACACAACCCAACTGGAACAAAACACACAGGCCGGAAATGGTTCGACTGCGTAGAATGTCACCAAGAGTCCGAAAACCACCCGCTCCTGCAAAAGTTTGAAATGACCTTTGCCTGCAAGAAGTGCAAAAAGTGCTTCCGCAAGGACGCCCAGGAGTTTGAGGAGGCCGACGAGTACTGCCCGCACTGCGACAACCACTTTGTGCTCGAGGCCGTGACGCCCAAGGCGGCCATCACGGTCGAGGGCGCCGACGTGCGCGTCGACAGCCGCATGATCAAGGACGAACGGGTCAAGCAGGCGCCTAAGAGGACCATTTTTGATCCGGATGTGGAGGCTGATAAGTTGGGCTGATTTTTCAAACGGGAGGGGGAGTTGGGAGGGGGGGGAGCGGAGCTGGGATGGACAGAGCGATCAAAATTTACAGTAATGACAAGATACCCATACATAGCGAAGGCGGGATACTAGAGGAAAATATGGACAGCCGGGGGCATTTAGATGTCATGTGCATTGCTCGCCATGTCGGGTTCATGGTATAATCTTACACGTAAAAGGAGGGTCTTGCTTCAAGCACGCTGAGCGGTGCAACGATGGAGACGCCTCGCGCCACCGATCTACACTACCTCATGGTGACTTGAAAGCCTCGGCCCGCCTCTGCAATCCCGAGTACGCCAGCCAGTTCCCCCCTTTAATGGTCGCCAGGCTCGTCATGGGTCCTGGTCTGTATAGTGGCCGTCCCTGTCCCCGGGGTCCTGCCCGTCTTCTTCTTGGCCGCCTCCTCCTGCTTCTCCTGTTCGATATTCTTGACATAGCTCTCGATATCCTCGACGGGGAGCATCTCCATGGGCTTGCCGGGCGCCATGATGGCAATCTCAATGTTTTTGGCGCCCGTCTGCACCACCTCCAACAGAGACTTGATCGCCAGCCGCACCGTCGCTTCGCGGTCCATGTCGTCCTTGTAGTTGCGCTCCAGGAACTCGCGCACTGTCTTGCTGGAGCGCCCGATCGCGTTTGCTTTCCTATGGTAGACGTTAGCCCAAGCGCTCCCAATTGGCCCTGTTTAATCGGGCTGTATGTATGTATAATAGGTGGGGCGCGCGCACCATGCAGAGTAGATGCCGGAGGGCTCCGTCTGGTAAAGCCTGGGCACCTGGCTGCCCTTGTCGAAGCCGACGATGAGGGTGCTGATACCGAAGGGCCGGACGCCGCCGCTTTGCGTGTATCGTTGCTGCACGCCGGCGACGTACTTGGTAATGTACTCGATGGTGACGGGGTCTTCTAGGTTGAGGCGGTGCGACTGGGCTTCTAACCTGGCCTTGTCCACCAGGATGCGGGCATCTGCGTTGAGCCCGGCGAAGGCGAGGCACACGTGGGTGTCGATGAGGCCAATCTTGGACGGAGTGATGCGTGTGTCCTGCAGCTTCATGGCGGACCGCTTTTCGCAGCCGAGGACGACGACGTCCTTGCCCTTGACGCCCACCGCGCAGGTACCTCTTTTGACGGCCTCTCCAGCATATTCGACCTGAAACACGTGTCCGTCGGGACTACGCGGGGTTAGTTTACCGTGAGAGCCTCTGTTTCTGCGACTTGCACTGACCTGAAAACTGAGCGTGAGCTAGGTTAGCGACAGCTAGAGGGGTGCAGGTGGCAGGCGAACAGTAACTCACCCGAGAGAGCTCTATCGTATCCCGAAGCCATGGTTTCGGGGTGATGACTGTATTTCCGATCTTATTAAGTTACAATCCGCCGTCGAAAGAAGAATTGTTTGTGGAGTAGAAGTGATCGAAGGAACGGTGTCGTGTAGTTGCGCGTATCTGGTCGTGGTTGGAGTTTGGTTTGGAGATGCTGGGCAGGCTGCCACAGCTGTGACGACGAGCTCGAGGCTGACAAGCTTCCCCCCCAGCTGGGGCCCAAGCGTCGGGTGTGCCTGGTAAGCGGCAAACCAATCAGGTTGGGAGGTGAAAGTTGCAATCAACAAGTCCACTGTGCGGTCAAGGAGGCCTAGTGGCCTACGCTTCTGAGAGACTCCATGAACAATTGAATGCAAATACAGTCAAACCTGCAAATAGCGATTAGAGAAATAGCGATAACCTCCAAATAGCGATTGGATCTCGCGTTCCCATCGTTATTTGTATGGGAATTTGGCATTACCTGGCTTATCCGGTATAGCGATTGAATTCTGCTTAGTAATACATACAAATAGGGGTCAGTACCCTGGAAATATCGTTATTCTGGAGTGGTCTCCAGCGCCCTTATAGTTCTAATGTCCATCGTCTGGATGTACTTGGGAAGAACCTCGACTATACCTTAGGTCCTTATACCCAATCTAACTTACAATTCGAGGTCCAACGTAGGTCGGTTCGTCATACTGTCAAGTAAGAGGTCGAATTCAGAGGCGAATACCTCCGTATAGCCATTTTGCTGCACTGGGACCTTCATTCCTTCCATTCTGGGAAAATTGTGGGGCACCCTGGGAATAGCGATCAGATTGGCCATGACGGACCCAATCGCTATGTAATTGCAGGTTTGACTGTATGACTCTGGGACTTTCACTATACATCGGACAATACAGCACCAAACATCAGCAAAAAGCATAGGCTGCATAGCGCTACTTCTCGGAATCGACCTTGTTCAGGCCGGAATGTTGCCAGTCATGG